GGAAGAGCAACAAAGATCTGATGGGCAGCAGGCGTCAGTAACTGACCACGGCCTACTGAGCCGTGCCGAGCGACGTGCACCGCTCATTCGAGACCTTTAGCTGAGCAGTCGCCAGGAAGGGACAAAGACGGTGAACCCACGAAGGGCGATTTAGTGCCCAAGAGCGTAACGAGTGCACCGGGGCGGCTGGCGCAATCGCTCAGTGCCAAACTTGCCACGAAGCGAGCAAGTGAAAGCGAACGGAGCGAGTTAAAGTCGACAACGAGTGGTCTGTGTGACGAAAAGAAGGAAGAGGCCAAGAAGGACGAGTTGAGTGACTTGACGAGCACCGAGACGAGTACGAAGGCGGTGACGGACGCGTTGCTGTGTGTGTACAGGTGTTGCGACTAGACGGGCGAGGCGGTGACAGGTGGAGACTTACGGCGGTGCGAGCACGAACGACGACACTACGGAACGCTTAAGGTTTCGGAGTGCGTGAAGGTGCTGGCACGGGCCCTGGGCAGCTTGCTGACGAACTGTACGGACAGTAGTGGCATTAAAACGAGAACGAGGACGAGGACGAGAACCAGAACGAGGACGAGAACGAGAACGAGTACGAGGAGATACGAAGAGTCTCCATAAGTACGAGTGTATTAATAAACAGGACGTGAGTCCGGCTGCTTAGGCGGCTAGTACGGTGTTGAGTTACGTAACGGACGAGGCCAAGAACACGGACCTTGGCGAAACAGCGCAGCAGGCACAAGCAGTTATACTTTCCGCCGGCAAGCAGGCGACAGGAGACTTGTTACACATCGAACATAATAATGCCAACCACCAAATCGATAGAAAAGGTATTAAATTTGCATGGGAAAACGTTTGGTGCTAATCATAATTTTTATTATTTGTCCTAAAGAGCAGATTTGTAGGGATATAAAAAACTTAAGCCCGCTTACGCTGAATTTGTCTCTACTACTCCGTCTGGCGAATAATTCTGAACCTCAGCCTAAAGGGTCAGATACTCTCCTACCGGACCACCACCCAAACGTCTGCACGATGTCCCCAAAACTCTTCTGGACCAAGCGTGCCGAGCTTCATGTCGAGTCCGACTTCGTCACGTATCGATGGGGTCATTTTTGCTGCTCGAACATTTTTCAGTGAGAACAATAAGGTGCATGATTTGCGCAGGCGACCACGAAATGGCCGAGCGCTGCCTGCAATGTAAGAGTCCGACTTGCGGAGGATCGGGGTTGCCGAAGAAGTGTGCGGTGCAATGGAAAGTTCAACGCTGCGAAGTCTCGTCGACGTGGGTCGTCCTCGAGAACACTGAGAAGCATTCACGAGGCGATACGCCGTGTGCTATAGGGCCACGCCCACGCGTTACTCCTGAAATACGGGAGTACATCCAACGCATAGATGAGAGCGCAGTACCACCACGCTTAATATGGAGTAATCTTCTGCGAGCATCGGAGATTCCTTCCCCAGCGCTAGGATTTCCATCGTGCGCCCAGGTCCAGCGAAACGTTCGTTACAATCGATGTCTGCACGGGTCGAAGAACTCAATACTTAAGACACGCGAGCTGGTCATTTCGAAAGCATTCAGAGCCGATATTGACCCAGAGTCGGCGTTCGGTTTTGGAAATGGACAGGACGAAAGGGGATCTCCGTTTGTGGGAAATGGCGAGGACGATGAACCTTTGATTTTGGGTATAATCAGTCTGAAACTCATGCAAACTATTCTGGCGCTACAGCAGAAGGAGAACTTCTTGATTTTTCACCTCAATGCAACTTTCAAACTCAGTGACCTGGGGTATCCAGTTATTACCTGTGGCTTTACTGACCGGCGAAGAATCTACCACCTAGCCAGTATGTTTATTGTAAGCCAGCGAACTGAGCGTGAGTACTATGAGGCTGTTGGTAGTTTCGTCAGGGTTTTCGGGAGCGATTGGGTGTAGCACTGCGTATCGATGCTGTGATGGGAGACGCGGAGAAGGCTCAAGTAAATGGACTAGTTGCTACCAGTGGGTTTGAGAACAGCATTTACCTGATGTGTTTTTTTCCACGTACTATACAACGTACGTAAGTGTATCCAGCAGCTTGCCGCAGCCCTTCGAGCTGTTGTGTACCGCGGAGTTCTAGATATGCACTACACGCTTAGCATAGAGCCATGGTGCGGTGGGAGTAAACCCCGAGACATGGGATACGCACCTTCCGGGTAATTACCAGTTCGATATGTGGAACATCACCCCTCAGTACCCGACACTAACGGTGACCCTGCCCTTGAGGCATACGCGTGGTAGACCTCCGCTAGCATCCCCCGCGCTAGATGTTCAATACGTACTGCGCTGAGTTCAGCATACGAATAACATTTCCTTAGTTGAAAGGACACATTGCTTTAAATTCTTTCGTGAAAAAATCTTGTACTAGCTGTAGTCTTACCTAAGCGTGGCATCACGCTCGATAAAATCAAACCTTTGTTACGAGTTGCTAGTCTACTAGTACATGTTGCCGTACGGACAAGTAATTGTGAGCTCTCGGTCCACAATAAATTGACTAGATCGCATTATTGTGAACCGCTGCCCATCTAGAACTTGGCACATTATTTTAGCACTGTCACTTAGTTATGAGGAGCTGCATTGTGTGATAGTATTAGAAATTTAAAGTGCTTAACCGAATAGGACCGGTCACTATAAAAATAAATCATTCGGACCGGTTCACTTTAAAGAAACATTCAATTTCCTTACTTCTCCCCCCTCGGCATCCCAACGAAATGACCCAGAAGACGAGAGTGAGGGACCGGTGGGCGACCATTCAGTCCCGGAAGCGTCACCCCGAGTGGTCAACTGCGGATGCTGTGCGCCATCTCGGAATAGCCCGACCGAAGCTCTTTACTTGGAAGAGAAAATACTGGGGCATGCTGGAGCCACCAGAGGAAGATTTCCAGCGCTATCGAGTGAAGGGAGCGGGGCGGCCGTACAAATCCAGCGATGCGTGAGGCCGTCACAACCGTTGACGTGCTGCGCTCCGCCTCGGCGAAAGGAATGAGAAGAGAGGGCGACCTCGATACCAGCGGCGACAGCGACTCGGTCAAGAACCCCTTCGCGACACATGTCTCCCGCCAAGCGTACCGGCAAATCGTCGGGCAAGGTCCCATCCACCACACACACGGGGGTGGTGAAGGTAAAACTAGCGTCTGTCATTATAAATATTTATTAAAGTTCGAGGCATAAGTGTTTGGGCGTGTCAAATTGTGTCTACCGTTCACCAAAAAGTGTATATTTGCGGCTGGAAAAGCGTATGCTCTCGCACCAGACTCATATTCTGGGGGAGGGAGCTAGAATGTTGGATGGGAGAGGGTTGTAATTGGTTTAAAATGCTCCGATTAAATGTGTCCTTTCAGAAGTTAGGCTCAGTCTTATATCGTCCCAAAAGAGGGATGGACCAATCAGCGATCTAGTTTGCGGGATATTGGGATGACCTGTAGGGTTGACACCCCTTCTCGTCCCACTGGGACGTTGTGTGGCACGGTCTTGGGATACACAAATCCCGCTCATCTCAAGTCCAATCGTCTATATATCACCTTGCACCACTGAAACGATAGACCACATAGTATGGAGCTGCGATAAAGCACAACGTGCTTGGAAAAGATGGCTTGATCAATGGCTCGGAGTTCCGACTACCTTGACGAAAAGAAAGGCATTACTGGAGCACGTTGCGTCAAGGAAGTCACCAACAGCGACAGCAGAATTCCTGTCCGTAGCTCAGCAATGCATAACGCGATGGACAACATGTCACGACAAAGCAATGGAGATATTATGGTTAATATGGACAACACCAACCCCAGTCATACTATGGAGACTACGAAATCGTCATATTTTCAACGAAATACACACATCAAAAAGCGAAACAGCCTCCATAGTCTGGGGAGCTGGCACGTACCAAGTCATGGCGGTAGCTAGCTCATGGAAGGCGCAACCATCAAAGCGGATATTGGGTGTGTGTCTGGAACTATGCCATAGAATCATGATATCTGTTCACCCTGAAATGGATATGGAACATCTGGAAACCTGGCTAATCCGTTACTACGCACGAAAACCTCCCGGAAAAGAGTCCCAAGGAGGATGGCTAGTATACCATTTAGAAAGAGATGACGTGTGGAAGCTCCATGTAGCTGGTAGCAACACATTTAACCACCAGCAATCCCGCTCAAAACTTGATCTACTCGTCCTCGAACAAGCAGGACAAGCCATTTGTCGTCAAGATGAGCCTCAGAGAATTATCCTATTGATTGATACCATCAATTCACGAGCCTCCAGCATGCGCAGAAAAGACTCAGAAGATAAGGCCGACTACAACGACTGCCGTAATCTCAGTGCACTAGCCTCATTCTTCAGGATACAGTGGAGAAAACCGAAGCTAGCGGCATTCACAGCAGCCAGGAAACTGGCTGCAATGGACCAAAATGCAACATATATATTCGACAATACAAACAGGATGACCCACCGAAGCGCATTCGAAGAGTATCTTCAGCGGACGGAGGAGCAAATTCAACGAAAGGCAAACCCTCAGCCATACAGAAAGACGGACTCCATTAAGAACCGTTTAATAGCGTATCATAGTAAAGCTTCTATAGGATAAAACATACCCAAATAGAAGGCCATTTGAACCACCAAGTATACAGCAGCACACACCGCCGACACGAGCCACCTGTCTATAACACCGGGTTGGAAGTCCTGCGGATTCTCGAAATTGTAGGCATCCCATCCGGCTATTGTGGGCAGATATAAGACCGAGTCTTAGCCCCTTTAACCCTGAAGTTTGTTTTTAATGAATACACCTCTCGCAATAAAACGTTTGCGATGCATCTCATTCATTTTGGAGCTTATTTTCCGACATCGAGCTTTCGAATGAGCCAAGTTTCGCGCCAAATGGATGTCTGTAGCGGTCACAAGCTCCGAAAGTGTGCGAAAGGGGGAGGGGTGCCTTGGCTTCCTACATCCACTGCACGTATGACCCACATCAGCTCAATTAACGTGTGACATGTCTACGCCAGCGAGTGTGTCTTCAAGTAACAGCTTGTCCAAAGCACTCGTTATCTCTACCATATCCTCATGGATATTGCTCTGCAGTATTTGATGGAACGCCTCAATTTGTGCATCAGTGGAAGTCGAAATACCGAACCTCACGGGGGCCTGACGACTACAAACCATAACGTCGGTGACGTTTTCATCAGTCGCCGGTTGGACACAGATCCAACCTGTGTCGTCTGAGTGCATGCCTCGAAGAGCTCCTTCCCCTTCAGTGTGTGTTTTCCAGATGAACACCGTCCGAGTTTCCTCCACAAACCGTTGCGCAACATACCTCTTCAGCACTGATACGGTTGGACCAGTCGCCAACGTCTGAACAGTACGATACCTGATCACTCTGATATCCCCTGAGTCTGCAACTTGTCTAAAATCCTTTCGGTCATGCTGTCGATGATGCATTTCACCCAACTTCCACATTGTTCGTTGGGTCTGCGCATAGCTAAACGGCTCCGAGTATTTCTGTCGAAGTTCGATGTACTCGACTTCGTTGTCAACCTCACGTCGTATATTCGACATAGAAACGCCATCTACCATTGAGTCGAAATTCAGAACGCAATCAGTTAAAGCGTAAGCTTCTTGAACCCGTCGCAGATGGCCTCGGAACATGGTATAGTCGAATGGCGGGATAGTCGGTAGAACCGAAACGTCGGAGTCCACTGTAGTCGGCGATGAAACGCTCTTGACCATTGAAGCAGGTACCTGCTTACACAGCTCCATTATGCAGAAGGCCTTCGCTTCAGCTGCATCAATTAGTTGTCGTTGCTCAGCTTCAGATTGTAGCAGCTTTTCACGCTCTTCCATGGCCAAATCTCTCCAAACAGAGTCGAAAGGGCCCAGACTGGTCGTCTGTTTGCCTTGCTTTAGTTCTTCAAGCTTCAGCTTTAGGTCTTCAACGGTTTGCCGCAGTGTCTCGCGTTCGTCCTTGAGTCTCTGGTGGTAAATCCGCTTTCGAATGGCTTCCTTCTCTCGTCGAGTCTTGCGTTGAACAACCACACCGACGCTACTGTTGGCGTTGATATCAGTAGAAAAACATGAGCTTACCACCGACGGTGCGAGATTTCTAGGAACAGCGAGACCGTCACTCTCTCCGTGCTCGTGTAGCACTCCAGCCTTCGAGGGGCTACTTGTGGCCAGTGCCTTATGGACCTCGGCCGCGCACGCAGCTTTCATGGCCATGGTGAGCGCTGAACGAAGATGGCGATTGTGAGAGTGAATGTTGCCAATCTCGCCACTGCGATCTTAAAGATTGGATAGCCGAAGATGTAGCCTGCTGAACTTCAGCCTGAAGCGAGCCAGAAATATTACATGTAAACTGTATTGTGGTTTTCATCCATTTTGGCAAAGCGGATGATCCGAGATCCACTATATCGGATCCGATTTGCTGAACGCCGTCGAAATAGAAAGTAGTATTAATAAGATTGCTATCTCGGGCCGGATATGTCGATGGGCACTTCGAATTAAAGGGGAAGTGCCAGAATTGCCGTCTTTGGACGGCATAAGTGATCTGCCCAAACTCATTCGCTAGATCACTTCCAGTCTAACCGCCATAGGAGAATTATAGCACCCTTTTACACGGCAATCGCGCTACAGTATGCATACGTTTAGTGTTTATCTCTTCCTCAATAAGTAAAACTGAGTTGTGGGTCGTCTGGAGTACTACTACCGGTATGGGTATATTCAAATACTGAAGTATATCAGTAGTTCAACGCATTCTGTGGAAGCTAAATATCGATCCCTCCCAACGTGCAACATCCTGTCTTGCGCGGTAGAGATCTCGAGCATATCCTCTTAATTGAGCAAATTTGCCGCCAACCAGTATCTGCCTCTGCCCTTGGGACAACAAAAGGAATGGAGTTTATCGAACGTAAACTCTGGCCATCGTCAAGTCTTCATCTGCCGACGGCTGAAGGCAGAGCCAACCTGTTTCCTCAGACCTCAAACCGTCAAAGATAATTACCATCTGACAGCGTTTTTCAAACTACGAGAGTGCGATTGCTCTCTCTAAAACGGCGAACGCGTTCCACTGCGCGGTGACACTATCACTCCACCATTATTAATAATAATAGTGAATGGCCGAACGCGACAAAACCTTAATCATAATCGCAGAGCTCATGGCTGCCTGTGAAGCAGCTTGATCAGTTTCCGCATGATCGGCTGTGTCTGCTCGTAGTTGAAAGCTCTGGAAACCGATCCGGTACTTGAGCTTTCTTCCTAATTCGCGGTAATGCAGTGACGAGAGCAAATCCGCGTAAATCGCTGTCAACTTAGCGTAACAGGAAGGCACGCATTGCACAAGAGCACTGTCGAAAAGAGAGACATTTAGAGACAGCTTCAAGTTGAAGTCGAGTTGTCGAGCTACTGGGAAGCTGTGTGCATACCTGGCAGCTTATCGATGTGCTTGGCTTGCAGGATAGCGGCCCTGAAGAGGTGCATCTGCTCAGTCTCCGATTTGAATCGTAGCTGTCGTCGAAGAAGCGAGTTCCTCACGATGACCAGTGACTTGATGTCTTGTGCGCTAGTACAGATCCCATTGCTTGGACGTAGTTCCTGTAACTAGATTAAGAGCCCGCTCACTAATTGACGGAGAGATTCGCGTTCATTCTGCAGTCTATGGTGCTACTTTCGCTTTCGTATGGCCTCCTTTGTCGCCTGGCAGGGAACCCGATAAATATATTCCTGGTAGCGATTCATTAGACAGCTCACGCTTATTAGTCATAACATGACGTGAACAGATCAAAGACCAAAATAATGGATACTAGTACTTAGCTGTCCATTTTGTAAAAACTACAATACCTGCCATTTTTTTAAATCGAGCATACTGAATCGATGAGAACTGCTAAAAGCCGGTCATTTTGAATGAAATATCCCGAAGGTTACTAAAGTGCGAAGTAATTTGTTTGAGCCGCGATTGCGGTAAAACCATACCTAAAAAGTGCTCTAAAATGTTCTCATTGTTCTAAGAAATAGCTTAGTTTTTCTATTCTGTACATAATAACGAAATTATTTGGCCCTACTTGGTGGCAAACCCACGCAGTATTGCGGAGGCGGGCCCAGCGCCGTGCTCACCCGGGAGCCGATCTTTACGCTCTCCAGTACATCGAATTTTTAAGTCGCGAGCGAAGCGAACCGCGGCTGGTGATTATAATGGTTGTTTAAAATGCAAGTGAAAGACTTCCAAAAATCGCCCAAGCACGTGGACCGTTGAATCAATGAAGACTTCCAAAATGGGTTTTATATCAGGACCGGCGCAGGGGTATCGCTGGTACTTCAATTATCTTGTTTTAGTGCGATTAGTTCATTTTAAAATACATTTTAGGTGCCCCGCGATTGTCTGTAGTTGAAAATGTTTTGCCAGCTCAAGAGCCCTTGACAGACCTACGTCACTGTAAGCAGTCCTTAAAGTCGGGATCATCGATTCTTGTTAAAATTATCCACGTATTGAACTGAAAACTATGTCTTCAAGCTTTTCAAACGTTGAAAGCACCAACCTTAAAGGTAAATTTCCCTTCGTCAACCCAACTTTGAATCTGTGCAGTCTGTAGCTCGGTAGCACATGTGTTGCTCTTTAGTGGCTTCACTACGTTGTGCACACGTGCCACCGTTTTGTCCGGAATATTTTCTTGGGCAGGCTTTAGTTTCGCGTAAATCTAAATGAGGGATTTAATCCTTGCCTTGGCTTTGTCGAGGGTGAGAGCGCTACTAAATTCTCTTCAACCACAGCTCTCAAGTGTTTATTGATCTGAATTTCTGAAACTGCACCATTGAACCTTGGGATAGTTGGTCAATTGTCGATGCAGAATTTAAGATAAAAAGGAAGAGAATTGCGAAGTGTAGGATAACCCGGTGTAAAGGATGCAGATTTTTGACGCAAAATGCAAACTGTGACACGGCAGCTGCAGTACTGGACCAACGGTTTATTCAGCAGCTGTGCTTTGTTACGTTGAAGCTCCAAGCTCAGGAATTTTATCGAAAAACTGTGAACAGTTAGAAGAGTAATTTGTCTTAACTTGAGTATGTCGGTGATGAATCCGGGCTAGATTTGATTAAACTTGTCGGAGAGATATGCATAATGCCTTTGGTTGGCCTGCAACGCCTTTTAAAGCAAATGGTACCAAACTTGGGGTTACCAACTACCAGGCTTTGAAGCTCCATCCCAGTGAGTAGCTTTTCTTCGTTTTCCTTGCTGACCTTGACGACTGCCTCATGAAAGTTGGCCTCTTCATCGCCGATAGGGTTTAGCCCAAAATGCATTGGCGCCTGATGTACACAGAGCTCCATGATAGTGCCGCCTTCTGGGACATTTGATTTTGGTCGGAGTCGGCACCATCCCGAGTCATTTGCATGCATCCCAGAGTACGCACCTTCGCCCTCGACAAACACTTTCCAGACGAGTACCATGTGATCATCAGCCACGAATCGTCGAACCGTCAAACGCTGAAGGAGAGACACAGACCCGCTTAGTAGCTGTACGGCGGTCCGAAATTTCACGGCAAACGTATTGTCGAGCTCGTGCGCTCGATCGTAGACCTTTCGATCTTGTCGTCGATGCCTAATGTGAGCTAAAGTCCAGAAGTTCTTGCAGGCTTGCTTTAAGCTTAGTGACGAGTGGATCTTGCCTCGGTATTGGAAGTAGCTGACTCTGCCGTCGCTTGAATTTTTGAATGTGGACTTTGTAAGCCCGACAGACATTGTATCGACCCCACCAGCACGAAGAACGGCCGCTGTACGTGCGTAATTCGCGTCTAGCTCCGATAATTGCGTTCCAAAAAGTATTTCATCCTTGCGCCCATTTACCACAGGGGCGTTAAGGACTCTCTCGTCAACGACAGGAGATATATCGAGATGATTCAGCACGATCACCTTAAGCTCTTGGATGAGTGAGGCTTGAGCGCTAACGGCAGTTACCAGCCGACTCTGTACCTCACTTGCTTGCTGCCGCTTGTCTAGTTGGTATCTGGCCAGAGCCTTCCAAGTTGAGGCAGAGCTCACCATATTTGTCTCGCTCGTCGTCTTGATAAGACGTTGCGTCAGCCTGGCCACTTGATTGGTCATCACAGTCACTTGATGCTGCAGCGAATCGCGCTCACGCTTTAGTCGTTGGCGATACACACGGCGACGTTTCGTCTCATTGTCTCTTAAGGTGGGCTTACTGCTTCTTTCGTTCTTCGATGTTGATCGCTTTCGAGAGCGCTTTCGTTTCGTATTGTGATGAGGCGATGATGTTAAGTCGTTAGATGTCATATCTGAGTCATGCTGCGTTTCAGTGTCGCCGCTCAAGTCAAAGTCTCCATCTTCATCGACGTTGAGCTCCACCTCGAAGGCGTGAGTTTGATTTATTGGTACATAAATTTCACCTGAATATCTGTACCCGGCGTACATACCGCTGGTGGCTACAGAAGTCGGTTTGTGGTAGAGTGTCACTAGGTTGTTATAATGGTCACTAGGTTTTCAGTAGGATTGAGTCTCACTAGGTGGGTCAGTATTTTTCACTAGGTTTTAATATTTTTCCGAGCTCTTTGAATACGCTTTTTACGTGTTAGGCCTGGAAAAGATAACTCAGTCCAGATTTCAAACTTTGGGTGAGTACCTGTGTCCAAAATTTGGACACAGCAATACAGAATGGGGCCTATTCTGCTATTTTGCCTTCTCAAAACGGTTTGTGAAAAGGTATTTTATCTTCGGGTTCTTATTATAATACTTCTTCGTCTTCCGCATAGCCGCCGCGGGCATCTGCTGACTGGACATTGCATCGAAACCAGTTAAACGACACCTTGTGGTTACGCCTCACCATCGTCACTGAAGCATGAATCGGCATGCAAGAATCCGGTCATGTCAGCTATAATAAGGTTGATTTAGGCGATCACCCATCGCCAATCTCGAGATGACAATAATCGTCTGCCTACAATTACGCTCCGCATCGCATCGTAATCAGACCACAGTATCGAGTCCAAAATTATGGTGGCAGTTGATGTTTGGACCACTCTTCATTTTGCAGGTCACAACCACAATGATGAAATCAATCACGTCACACGCGTCACTTTTGGCGGAGTTGGACGAGTTCCTTAGCACCAACGCCTGGTAAAGATCACTAGGTTGTCACATCTGTCAGCACCGTCCACACCAAACACTAGGTTTTCAGCAGTTTTCATGGCTCACTAGGTCTGTCAGCAGTTTTAAGTTCAAGCCAGCGTCGGTGTCGGTCGGCTTCGCGGGTTTTAAAGTTATTGGATTTTTTTTCGCTTCGTCAACTATCCTTAGTACATTGTGATGTCGACAATTTCAAAATATTAGAGGCAGCACAATCCCTTCCTGTGTGCGATTCTTGCCAGAAAGAAAGACAGATTGCTGTGTTCATGTAGTTGAACTAAGTCTTGAACGATGGACTATCTGAGGCTTTATCTTCTGTCTTATCAAGATTGAACGCCTTGAAGGCATACGTGGAAGCTTAATTACTGCGCAACAGCCTCTTTATCTGCTCGGCCTGCAGTTTACACGCTATTTTTCCGGTCGATTGAACTCTTCCAGCACGCCAAACAAAGCGCCGTAATGAGGCACAATCGAAGTTTCACTTGTGGGATTTTGGTCATTAAACTCATTTACGTACTTGGTTCAAGCGACAAAAAGCGGATTCGTTAGTGGTTCATATCCACGTCGTCGTCGATCATGGACAATTCCAAAACCAAGATCGGGTTTTTGCCGTCGTTGAACACCTCTGGTTTTGCCCCCCCCCCCTCGTTTGGTGACGATTGCCTCTGTAGTTGAAAATTATTTTGCCAGCTTAAGGACCCTTGCTGACAGATCTACATCTCTGTAAACAGTTATCAGAGTTGGGATCATGTGTCAATTGGTTATTTGCGCTGAAATTGTCCACGTACTGCACCCACGTGTTGAATTACGGAGGACCGAAAGCCGTGTTGGAAGCATAAGCTTGTTAGGCTCAAGCATCTCATGGACTTTTCCTGTAGATTATCATTCTTCGAGCCACCTGTGAATTTAAAGTCTGTAGCTCGGTAGCATCTGTGTTGCTCTTTAGTAGCCCCACTGCATTGTGTTAGCGTTTTGTCCGGTATTTCTCCTCGGATTTAGCTCTTTACTTCCTTAATGAGTTTTTCGATGCTTGCTGGCAAAATGCAAGCTGGGGCACGGCACTTGAGATGCTGCACCAATGGTTTATTAAAATCAGTAGCCAGTTAAGCGTTGTCACGTTGAAGCTCCGAAATCATGCATTTTATCTTGTGACGGATTACTGACGGTCGCTTATTACTGACAAACGATTTAAGCCAATCAAATACCGCTACCGCAGTCCACTGACAACACATAAAATGGGGACGGGAAAACATAAATCGGCTGTGCGCCACTCACTTCTCAAGATGCCACCGGGGCGCCACCGCGCCTCTGTTACTGCAGCCGAAAAGCTAGCAGCGCTCGATGCCTGGCGGCAGTGCGGCAACATCAATGCTGTTATGGCAGCTTTCTATAGTGATCTAGATGCGTTTGCGCAAGAGCAGCGACGCAAGCTGTTGTATCAGTGGCGTGATAAGCGTAAAAATATCGAATTAGCGTGCAAGACGGCTCGAGGACGAGCCAAGAAGAAGGCTCGGCAGCTCGGCACAGGTACTGCCCTCACCGCCGAGGCTGAGGAGGAGTTGGTAGCCTGGGTGAACGAGTTGCGGGGGGAGGGAGTACCTGTTTCCTCCGTGATGTTGCCCTTAAAAGCTATAGATGCAAGGACTGTAAAGGCTGAATACAAGAAAGCAGGACTCGTAGTGCCAGAAGTAGAGATTGTAGCGAGAGAGATTATCTCGGAATTGGCTAGCTTTAGTCTTGTAGATGGTAGAATCGGCATGGTAGCTGACGAGCACGACACCATTGACGACTTTCTCGTGATTCACAACGCGCGGCAAACATCACCTTTTTTACCTTTGTTTTGTACCCCAACATGCTTGTCAGTAAAAAGCGGAGGATGTCGGTACTGTGTTTGGCTAAAAACGTGAATTGCTTAAACAATTTTAATAGTTACTGTGGTTTTCATCCATTTTGGCAAAACGTGTGGTTCGATTTGCTGAACGCCTGTAGTTTGATCTCTGTAACAGAGAATTGGCATGTGTTGGGAGCAACTGCGAAAGTCTAAATAACCTTTCAATTATCATCCCTTGAGCGCCACGGTGATTCCCTCAGAACGCATGCTCATATTTTGAAATCCTGTCGAACCAATGCGTATCATTCCTCGGGCCTCCCCCACCATCCGCCCCAGGCATTCTTTCGTCCTTGCAATCGTAACATCAACACCGTGTCACTCTACTCGCTCTGATTGGGAAACTATTACGAAATATAATGATTCCAAAGGTATTCGCAGCTGCAGGAGCTGGCGGATCACCATGCCAACAAGCATGTTCTCCGCTACCACAGCGATCACATGGCGACACATTGGGATGTAGAAACGGGCAGCAGCAATAAGCGTAAGTCAGGCATCGATGTTGGTCCACGAGGCTTTCTTTGTATGAACGCTTCGAGCAGGAGAGTAAGTGTGAAGCCTTCTTCCGTGCCATCGAAATGTGTTTGCCTTGCGGTAGCCTACTTTCACATGAAGGTAATCCTCTATGCTATGTGTGGAGGATGACAATCACTATTACGATTTTTTAATAATTGTTTTAGAAAACAATTGGAACGGAAAGGATGACAAGAAGTCTGGAAGTAAAACGTTGGCGACGCTAACAGCAAATGCCGTAGCTGTCGGTAATGAAGCGACAGAAATGTGTAGAATGGAGCTCTGAATTGTAATTTTTTTCCTTTTGCGAAGCGATATCTGCACGATCTAGCCGTTCGGTTAGGAGCTGATCTGCCAACTTAGATTCTTTGAATCATTTTATTAACTATATTATAATAGGTGTGTGGCTCGCGTAGCGCTCATGGTTTCATACTCGGTATCAGGCCCAGCACAGGTATCAGGCTAAGCACAGTAAATGCACTCTGTTTAAGGGGTTAGACTTCAATCGGTACGTAGATTTGGCGAAAATGTGTAAGAAATGTAGCCCTTGGTTGGCCGAAGTCGTTGCTGCACCTCTATTGCAACACGGTGAAATATGGAAAGGTGCTTACCGTATAACCCCTGTCGAATGCGCTCAGCTAAATTGCTCACACAGCGAGCTAAATGCATGCTTCAAGCTTTATTGTTCACTTGCTCCTATTGCTGACAGTGCCAATAGTATCAGACCACACACCACCTACCTCGATGACTTGTATAATGTGTCTGTGGTGTAGCGGGATCAGCAAAAGCTGCGAGAATGTTGGATTCGACTTCCCACCAGTACGCATACATCGACAACAGAGGTGGCCCCCGATGATTTCTGATCGGGCGAACTTTTTCTCATCTTGTGTACCAGTCGGTAGGGCATGATCTTGCTACTCTGGTAACTCTAGCGAAGTTCAAGTGGTACAAGCTGGAGAGTCTTGGCAAGAATCGGAGATGGGGTGGAGTAGGATTGAAAGATATTCCCTCTACGTCCAGTGTAGGGTTCAAATCTCAAGCAGGGCTTTTGAGCTAGTACGATCTGGCGGTCTTGATCTGCGATGGCCGTAGCGTTGGCTTGCGGTGGGTGTCCCTTGGTTTTTAAGTTTCTTTTCGTCGTACTTGCGCAGGATCTTGAGAGTTAATAGCCTCTTAGGTATACCCGGCCAAGTAGTAAATCCGATTAACCTTACGGATCTACACGCGCAAAAAAAAAGCTCACTGATCATCTTCGAACGCTTGGAATCTGAAACCTGAAAGTTTTTAGTGACATTGTTTTAGGGTCCAGGTACAATCGTCTTCAGCGTGTCCCTTTTCACCTGAAACCGCGAAAAACGTTTCAATAATACCCCCACCTTAGTGACAAATTTTCTGCGGCCCTAACAGGCCACTGAAACCTCGAGCTCGCGATATCGAATATCCATCTAAATTATGCCCTAACAAGATGGAGGGAGAAACCGAGCATGCACCTCGTTCACCTGCTACACACCGGTGCTTATAAATGGTAGCAAGCGTAACTGGACAGAGGAGATCACCATCATTCTGGAGCGCTCGTGGCGTGCGGTACACAAAAGCGGGCGCCGAGATGGTGAGTAGGCAAGCTTGCATAGCTTGCGTATGATCGTTGCCTACAAAAATGTTGTCACGGGGACACAACGCTCCAAAACCGCAATCGAGGACAAACTGCAGACACGCAAAGAGACGTATCACTTCATTTGCGACTTCAACGTAGACCGAATCCAAGGCAGCACCGGCAAACCCGGCTAACTTGATCTTTCGAGGAAGGAGAAGCGCCAGCTGAGGTACACATGTAAATCCTACTTTGAAACAGACTTTGCTATCTAGTAATATGCTATACAATTCAATGGGACAGGGAATATCGTCGTATCAAAAGCCACAACATCAGCGAGCTAGATAGTTTTCTATCTGATCAAGCAGATACTGCTCCACTACAGTCAACGTTTAGTGCGACTACGCGTGTCACTGGAGACGATATCGCTGAGAGCGATGCCTATGCCACGAGAAAGAAGAACAACCAAAAGAGGTGCGCTGACAAGTAGGAGCACTTCAGGGAGGTGCTGGAGGGGAGATCGGATGCGGTAACTGCACAAGCCAAACAACTTCATGAGGAAGAACTGCAGGAGAGACGCCGCCAGCGCTTGGAGCGCATGCGACTGCTGAGAGGCTTTCCAAGTGCGTTTAAGGTGACCATTGAGCCAAGTAAGAAGTAAGAAGTAGATGAATTTAGTTTCCTTACCGAGTATTGATATGAATACCATTGCTTCAGCTTTTCTCTTAAATTTGGATCTGCGGCTTCTTCTGGCTCGGTGTCTGGTTGTGGGAACGTCTCTTCAATTTTCTTAAAACGCGTTGTATTTTTTTTAGTCCATGTCGTATGTATTGTTCCGGTCAATCAAGAAGTTTTGTACAATGCAAAGTGCATATCCAAGGTACGGCGCAATACGAATGTCTTACAGAATGCCACCGAGTAAAACCCTTCACCCGCATTTGAGTTGTCCAAATGCACATTCAACTCGGTACCGAGCATGAATCAGGCGATCTTTGAGCCTCTGGGAAATAACACCTTGTAGCTCAGACAGCTCGAGCGTTGTAAAAAAAGTATATGTGTTTGGTTGCCTGAATCACCCAGCAAATTACACGTACGTTTGCATTTGCTTCCTCTCCGGTCGGTAGGCACACAGCACTTAAATTGATTGAGATGGCCGGAAAGGATGTGACAAGTGCGCTGTTCCTGGGCGCTCGGCTATCGCTCACGCGTCCTGGCCCACTTGCAATCGAGATCGCAAGAGCGCCCTCTCCAATCCACCACATCCGGAATAACTAAGCTGTATCAGCATTTTTAATTATAGTATGTGTCTTCAGGATTTGTAGGTTTGCCCACCGGTACATGTGTGCCGTCAATGCAACCAGCAATTTGTGAAGTTTGACACTGCTCGGCAAAATGAAACGCACATATCTTCCTTTCGGAGAACGCTATCAGAAATCGTAACTCCGTAAATGATAGCTGCCACTTCTCATACGATGCCCGATACCGTCGATGATCCCATAGTAAAGCGATCGGCTGTTATTTCGAGCGTTGTAGCGTGCGCGCAAAGGAAAAGAAAAGCTGCCAAACGTATGGAGGCAATACGGCATCAGGTGCCTAGCCGCTGAAAAATGCGGGTAAACAGCGTGCTCAAGCGCCGCTAAACTGCATCTTCGTCCAGTGTGAGCTCCGTTCTATTGCTAGCATCACGCATTCGACAGGTAGAGCTAACTCAGCAGTGACTTCTTCTTCCATTGCGTACGCCGCAAGTAGTAGCTGTTGGGCTCGCCCGAACAATGATCTGCAGGGACTAACCCCTCTCGTAGCGAAATCCAAATCATTACTTTGTTTTTTATTTAGAATACCTAACGCGATACACGTAGAGCACCAGCATTAGTCCTATATAGATTTAATATCATTCGGCGCGAATACGTACATTAATGATACTGTGCACTCCCGTTATGGGAAGAGGCAGTAGTACGGCCTCAGCCAGCAGCATAGACACAAACAGAGACTCGGCTCAAGTGGTGGCGGGGCGACTGACAGTAAGAGGGAAACATGGAGCAGCAATTCTTTGTTGGGTGTGTTTGAGTACTTGCTACCTGCTAAATACATTCCAAGAATTGATATTTATTTGTCTGGTCTGGAAAAATATAACAGCTCTTTAAATCCGCGACAGCTTCTGCTGTACTGCTGCAACGAAAGCGTGGTTGGTCTTGATCTTCGTTCTCAGCATGATGGCGTTTTTTAATGGGGCTTCCTCCGTTACTGCCATTACACGACCATTTAAAGAACCACTTCAAAAAGGGGAAAGTTTTTTTGCTTTGCCATGAAACATATAAGGAATCAAAACTTAAAATATGCTATCGAAAGAGGAAGAGGAGTATGATCTGGTCATAAAGTACTAGAAGTAGTTGGATCTATTTTTGTGCCAAAACCTGCTGCACACAAATCGTCAGGTGTACATATTTTAACCAATAATATGGATCTCAAAACGAACATTAACCAATCACACATACGTTTTTTTTAATTACTATTAATTCTTCTCCAGACCGAAGAAGTATTATGTTTGCGGTTCCAGGTGGCTTACATGCAATAACGGCGAAAGTAGCCTTTAAAACGGTTTTGTTTTTCAGATTCCAGGGTCCCAGTTTTGCTAAAGAGGGCCACCAGATGGTAGGATCTGGCCAACATATTATCCGGTTATTACTACCAGCACTAAATCCGCTATTACTAACCTTCACCGTGCTCGTACAGCAATGTAGCTCCGATTCTTGAGGGCAGGAACGCACTTACGTAACCCGAAGATAATAGAGTTCTGATTTAAGCCTACACCAGCCTGGGTCTCTATCTTCTCTGTCTTTATCTCACCAAATTATTTGCCAGACCTGAATACCTGTCCTTTCTCTCCTTGGCCCATCTCCCCAATTGTATCAGCACCGGGCTCCCCAGATCCGTGGCCCAATCATTGATGTTTGGTCGATCACTAATACCCCCCCCCCTCGATCAGGTATACGCCAGATCAGGAATAATTCGGGAGCATGGATACACCTGGATCCTGATGATCTTAGATCTCAGCCCCGATTACCTCGATTCCTCACTCTCTCACTTGGATCTCAGATCTCATGGTATCCAGATCCGTGATCTTGTGATCTTCAACTTAAATTCTAGTGAGAATCGTCGCCCTTGCTCAATTCAATACAGCTTCTGCCCGATGCACTTTCCCTGGGTCCAAATCGTCGTACTCGGTTCGACACTGTCATTAATCCATATAAGTGTCCGACTGTCACTTCTCGTATTCTTATTTCTTGAAAAGCACTTCGCCACATATCCTAATACGATTTCGGCTGTTGGGCATGCGGTGAACAAGATTATCATTCGCATTTATCCAAGCCAAAAACACAACCCAATCAAAATAAGTGTCTTACGAGAAGGGTTATGCGGTAAAGCGTCATAAGGTGTTGAAGTGAACAAACGCTTATATTCGTTTAAGGCTCTCTTCTCGTCTACGTTAAGGGGAGCTCACGGTGAATAAAATAACGCTGGCATAAGGTGATTTAGATGCTTTATCAGACAGTAATCCTATTGAAGGTGCTGTTACGTCATCGAGGCGCCCTAAGACACATTGGTGACGTTGTATTGTGCGCTCTACTCAAAATTTGCATGGGCGGTCTTTTGAATAAATAACATCCCCAATGACGCGGATCTGTTATTGTTGGCTTGAAAAAAATATCCACCTAAGCACGCTTTACGGTCACTTAAGTACGATCTGGACTATTAAAAAAAAACATTTGTATAAAAGTGAACAAGTAGTCTCTTGTAGGATCATTCTACACAAAATGGCACGACCTCCTTGGTTCAAATATGCAGAATAAACTTTTGTCCTCCTATTGGTTGCTGACTGGCTCCTCACTGCTACATGTATTTCACCTGCAAAAAGAACCACTATTGACATAGTGGTTCTCACGGAGCTTTTAGACAAAATGGGCAAACATGGTCGGTTTTATACAATACTACCGTCTTACCCCGCTTCAGACGCCTAGGCTTTTAAATCGAATAAAAACGTTGATTATGAGGATAGCCGAAACTCGTGTAGTACGCCCAGTCAAATAGAGCGCCTACCCAGCTGGAAGGTATAGGTAGCGAGCCATAACCAACTGGATTTCATACCCGTAGCAGTTTAAATGCTTCATGACCAACTAATCGACTGGAGATTGAAGCTGAAACCGCTCCAGAACAGTCAGCCATTTTTCATTTTCTGTCCACCATGACAGCCGAGAAGCGAACCAGCTACAGTCTGCAGTTCAAGCTAAGTGAAATTAGTGAATACAGGGCCGGTGTTGACGGTTCTGGCTTCCACGCGCTCGCTAAGAAGCACAAGGTGACGCCGTCCATGGTCAGAAACTGGTGGGACCGCAAAGACTCGCTGGTCAGCGCATCGAGGAACCGCCAACTCGCTACCCGTTCACGACGAAGGATGCCAGGAGCAGGCAGAAAACCAGAGCACCACGCACTAGAGCAACAAGTTCACGACTGGGTGATAGCACGAAACCGTAAGAGCTCGCGTGTGAAAGACAAGTACATACAACTCCATGCACTCAACATCTATCGTGCCATGATGGCCTCGGCCCCAGAAGAAGATCGTTGCGAGTTCCAAGCGTCCTCGGACTGGCTGGCCCGATTTAAAGACCGTTGCAACCTTGTATCCAGGAGGCAGACCAGTGCAAGAACTCTTCCAGAGAATGTCAGCCAAATTTGTCTTGATTTTATCACAAATGCACAACAACTGATCGAACAACACAATATACAGCCTTGTAACGTCATCAACATGGACCGAGTCCCGAGATATTTCGAGACCGAGCCGAAGTCGACTATTACAACCCGTGGTGTGAGAGAAGTTCTGCTGCGTAAGGGAGGAAGTAACCACAAACGGTTCACTGCAACTTTTGCCATTACTGGAGATGGTCGATTCCTGAGCCCTCACGTACTTTTCTCTGAGCTGAAGAATAAACCGTCGGTTCCAGAGTGAATACTTTTGGATGTGAGCCCAACGGGGAAGTGAGTGAAACCATACTTCTTGAGATCGCCCAAAACGTAATCTGTACCAGAAAAGAAATTCAGTTTTACCGAAAGCCTGTACTCTTCGTGATCGACTCGTACGCGTGTCACGTCAAGTTTTATGACGAGAAGAAGCACCGACAGTACAATATTTTCGTTTTATTGGTACCACCCAACCTTACCAACCTCCTCCAGCCCCTCGATGTTGCTGTTAACAGAAGCTTTTAGGCTTTCTACAGGGACCAATACGACGACTACATTAGCTCGGCTTTGGGCGACAAACGACCTCAAACAAAACCAGGGAACCCCAAAGTTCCGCGATACGACAAGGTTTCCCAGTGGGTTTTGGACTGGATTGCTACAAAAACCCACTGAGATTTCGAAAGCGTTTTCGCTATGTGGCCTGGTGCCAAAGATGGAGTTCGACGTTAAAGATCTGCATCCGCCTCTCTGCGATCTCTTAAGCCCGTCAGTTGGCATGAACGAGTGGCATCTACGTTATCAGCACATAGTGGATGAGAATGACAATCGTGAAGAGCTGTGTGTTGCTCGACCTGCCTGGTACCTCCTTGAGGACATGCGAACCAGCTTGTTCTGCTGTCTGCGATACAGTAGCGGTGAGCAACTTCACGAGTCCATTGACGTGCTCACTGAATACATGAGCAACTTACAGGATTTGGACGGTCTGTTTGATACTGACTATATCACCTCGCTGAAGAACGGAGAGACGCTACCAGGAGAGCTCGAGCTTTTTGCTGCAGCACACATGCACCACTGGAATATTGAAGTCGAGACTCTGGATGAAGACTGCAAAGTCGTCTCAGAGTACATGTACACTGTTGACAACCGCACGGACACGGTGCACCTCGCACAAATTGGCTTCTACTTTTCGCTGAAGGTGAATGGGATGCATGTGTAGGATAATCGACATGCTGTCGATGCTGTTCTTCTGATTTTTAGTTTATGTCTGCAATTGTAAGCCTAGGCTTTATATGCGAATACAATGCCCAGTGGGCTGTTTATTTGTTTTGAAAGCCTAGGCGTCTGAAGCGGGGTATTGTCCCGGCCAAAAAGGCTTGGACGGAAAATAAAAAAGTCAGGTGGCCCAAATGAATTTGATAATATCTCGTCTTCCTGATGAGAGCTTAAGACGTGCTTACCCTCCTTTGTTAGATGCCTGTCTTAAGAAACTGCTCAGGCATGCAGCGCGTCTTACATGAGAGCGGTATAGTCTAAATTGAGCACGTAATTTATTATCTCTATAGCGAAATAATGTAAGGTATAAGTCCTTACATACTTGACCTATCATAACTTAAGCTCAGCGCAAATTTAAGTCCTCATCTTTCTCCAGTATGCTAAGTGGAATGCTAGCTTCATGTAGCGCCAGGTTTGAGCCAATACGGGCGTCTGTGAGGAAAGCTATAGGCCGAGTCCATCGTCTATCGGTAACCACCGTGCTGTTGCTGTTACATATCAAAAATATCATTGCAGTAGTCGTACTGCAAATGTATAAGATATTGCAGGTATGAATCAATTTGATTATCTCAGATCGAGCTGAACGACTGACTGATCTATGCTATATTAAAGGAATTGTAGCACCAGCTGTATCATGTTAACCATGATGGTAAAAAACACGATGGGCGTCATTTATTGAAATTTATCCAAAATGATTGGGAATCTCCGGCTGCTATCCTGCTTAAGCCAATCGTAGAGACAGAAACGCTGTACGTGGCAGGCTATTAATTGCAAAGAATTCCCCAACAAATAGTGGGTCTTTTCGACAGCCAGAATGAAGGGGAAGGGCTTCGAATTTGCAGAATCCGACGTCAGATTCGGACTCAGCACCCATTTTTACCCTATATATCTAAATGTCGATATAGGTTTTAGAGCGGCAAAACATCTTAATTATAGCGCAAAGTCCGTCCAAGGTTTGGTGGCCGGGATAATAAGACGGTGGCGTAGATTTCCAATACTGCAACATGAGATGTGCAAGTTGCCGACGAAGGCGTATTTTCCCGATGTCGCAGTTAGTTATATTTAGTTCTGTAGGAGCTCGAGAAGCTCAGTTGCTTCCAGCTCACTTTCGCTTTCTTTTCGCAGCTAACAACCTCCAAGAAAACCTTTCTGGACAAGCTCATCAGCCCTTCATGAGCAGTACCTATTTTTACCTTCTTCCGGGCGCCTTCAGCCTCATTGGTTTCACCTACGGGGTCTCGGAAGGTCAGGCGACACGTGGAGGAAAGATCAAGGTCAAGCTCGTTCCGAGTGGTCGATGGGCAGACAGTCAGACTGAGACTGTCGAACTTGTTCACGCAGAGATAGCTCCGAGAGTGGTGACAACACAGGAGGCCCTAGATGGAGTGGGTACCTTCGTGGGAAGCGCTATCTGCACGCCAAGGGTGCCCCCAGGGAAGGCCCGAATTTGGGACTACGGATTAGTCGTTGGTTATGACTGGGATGAAGAGTCGCTTCGAGGAACCCTTGATGTTAACTTTGACGGGGTCGAACTACAGGTTGCACATAAGCCAAACTCGATTCAGGATGTTGCTGTTGAGATTTATGTGTTGCGGCCTTGTGGTGGTCGTGGCGTGGGTCTGATTATGCCACTTGAACTCAAGCAGAGACACGAGAAGATCTACAACAAGTTTAACGGAGTTGGCCAGCCAGCTGTTCGGGACTCGACAGCTCTGCTCGCTGAAGTTGGCAGCACTTCCATCGATGAGTCAAAACTGGTGCCACTCCTTGATGTTACAAGTTTCAAAGTGTATCAAGTGACCATTCAACACATCCTTGATTACGTCTACTACAAAGACGGAAAGCGCACGGCACCACCCGAAATTAAATTAGGCGATAGCATTTTCAGCTTACCCAGCGAAGACGACAACAGTCAGGACCGGTCCAGATCGAATCGTCGTGAGCTAAATCCGCAGAGCGAGCCTGTGTTCAGTGATGGTCTTAGTGACTCGGAGGACGATAGCGAGCCCCAGGGGTCGGTGCGACTGGACAGGCCTCCAGCGGAGTCGGCGTCAAAACGCAGACGTGTGAACAGCGCTGCCAACACCGGCAGCTGCGCTGAAGATCGTATGCAGCGACGTGGGGTTCGTTGTGATGGAGATGGACAGCTACAGAAAGATGTCGATCAATTAATCTCGCTACATCGAACAGTGCCAGTTGTCGATCCAACCGCGGTTTCGCGACCGCATATAGCGGAGACTCAAGACAAGTGTCAATTCCAGCCAACTGGAACGCAAACAGGAATATATCACTCTCTCATCAACGGTAAGTACGTGTCTATGACAGCACAGCGCTTTGTGGAGTTTGTTCAAATTCACTGGAGAAAATTTGGTTTCTTTCCACACCCTGCTATTCTGCGTGGCCTGTTTGGATGGGACTTCGGTACGAGAGGGCTCTCCATCCGACATTTCGTTCGAGTTACTGAGCAAGAAAAACGTGCGGGAGTTTGGAAGCATGACATGAGCAATTTCTCACGGAAAAATGGACTTCCAAGACCTATTGACCCGACAGAGTTTTCTACTTTGATTGGTACAGTTGAAGTTCTTCACAACGTTGCTCTTCAATGTTTCAAGCCTCTTGTCCAGGAGCTATTCCACTCCGCATTAACGTTTCTCGCTGAGTTACGTGTTAGTGACGCACCAACTTCAGTGCTAGCTCTAGCAGAAGTTGCAGCTTGGATTGATGACCGTTTGGGGTTGTTTCGTGTCTATGTGTCTGATGAAGATTGGGATAAAGCAGCAGGGGTCAAGTCGCATTTCAGTATTGCTCACGAGTCTTTCATGCGAGTCCATCAGTTTATAATGCGGCAAGAGCTACAATCTACACGGGGACAAGCTGCGTTTTCCGACGGTCAACGTGGCCAACCTCCCGCGGCAAAACGACCAGGCAAGTTCGAGAAGCGTCCCTCACGCTCAATTCCTCTGGAGATCCGAAAGGCCCTTCCTAAACAAGGCGGAAAAGAGATCTGCCTTCGTTTTCTTTCCAAGGAAGGGTGTCGAGGCGAAAACGGAGCCTGTGTCGACACAAATCGCTGCCATTTTAAGCCAGCAGTATTACCTCAGACGGTTCGTGAATTTAATGCTAAGAAATTTGGAGGAATATCAAGTGACATGCAGTGACGGTGTATACTGGCGGAGGCCGCAAGCTTTGACCTTTCACTGGTCGACGACACCGATTACTTTGAAATTATTTCTTCCGGTACTGCCAGCAGTACACCTCACTCTAGTGCTCAAAGCTGGTGCTCAAAGGATGTGGTATCGGTTTTGGCTACAGGGGCAGCGAGCACGACAGTCTCCCCCTCTTGTAGTTCTATAGAAGCTCACCACAGCCTCAACTCTCTTATGCGAGCAGCGAAGTCCAAGTGCTTCCCCTCGAGTAAGAAATTAGGAGACACAACCGAATTAACTGCGTTGTTCAAGCTACAACCACGGGCAGCGGATTCTCTCGACTCCCCCTCGTGCGATAGTATGGTTAGTACCCGCGCAGTAGCATTCTCTAAACCACCTGAGCCCACGTTAGACGCAGCTGCAATTCGAATTCGTGCCATGGCATCTTCTCAAGGAGGTATAGACGGCAAGAGAGACCATATTTTATCTGCATGGGCAGCGGAGGTTTCAAGCTTCCCCTCATGCGAAGAATTGGACGAGAATGACAACGCTACGGCGACGATGCCACCTGCATTTTGCGGTGCACATGAATTACACAAGTCAAATGCTCGACACGCTGCTGTTTGTGATAAAAACCTTGATGGACATGTGCCGACAGATAGTCTGCATTGTCCTAGTACTCAAAGTACGCCGGATATAGTGAGGCTGCTACGACAGCGCAGGTTCTCTCAAACTTTGTTGGCACGTCGCCGTTTGGCGGAAATTCACTTAAAAACTGCTTCAGCAGTTTTAGCGCAACAGTTAATTCGCAGTGGTCTCTCTCCACCGGATCCAGCACCAGTTTCAATGCAATGCAATGGGAAAACGACGTATCTGTTGGATCGGAACAAGCAGGCGGTATACAGTGAGTTTATTCGTCGAACCAAAATGAATTTGCCAGAATTTGTTCGCCTTCTACGTGGTGAAAGTCCTGCCGATTCAAGACCAAACAAAAATCTCGAAATACCAAGCTATCATCCTGCCTGGGTCAGCTACGAATATAACTCGCATTGGCGAGCCATCGTGGATCACGGTGTTATACCGCATTGGAAGAAAGCATTTGGCAAGCAAGACAAGCCGCCTCCAAATCATGGATCGGCTCGCAGGGCGCTGAACACGATTGTGAAAAACCTCCGAGCTGGACAGGACGCCGATCGGTATTTACTACTCGATCTTGACTTACTTTCTACACTGGAAGGCGTGACTTGCAGCCCGTTTGGGGCTGTATCGAAGGGTGACGTCGAATTAAGCGTTGACGCTCGTATAATTCACGATTTGTCGTTTCCAGTGGGCAGCTCAGTGAATGACAACACAATTGCTGATCAAGAAATCTCAATCACTTACGATGGGCCTGATGCACTATCTAATCGGATATTGGATGTAGCACAATCATTGCCAGGACAGCAGAGGATGTTAACAGGTGACGTAAATGGTGCGTTCAGGAACATCCCAATTGCGGCGGACGAGGTTGGCCGGTTTGCAGGGACGTTTCCAGAGCTCGACATCTTGGTGATCGATTTTTACTGTCCCTTTGGATGGAAAAACTCTCCTGCTTCGTACTGGTACGCTGGTGCAGGAATTAAGCACTTATACGCTAATTCAGCACCACCAAGTGGACATCAATCACTTAAACAAAGCCAAAACTTCGATTCAAGAGCTTGGTGCGATGATCATATCGCCATCGAGCCCGACATCGGTTCGCGGCTGTGTGACGCGGAATTTGCACTGAGAACTGCAATGATAACAGTTCTAGGGCCAAACGCATGCAACGAGAAAAAGTTCTCTCCTTAGTTTTCACGTGGCAGGGCATTAGGACTGGAATGGGATCTGCAGAAGCTGACAGTATCAATGCCCGAGGAGAAGATAACAAAAGCGCTTCGTCGGGTTCGTGAAATGGCTCGTCGACTCAAGGCCACCCGAACTCAATTGCAGAAGCTCATGGGTAGCCTCCGACATGTGGTTACATGTGTGCGAGCAGCTGCACCTTTCTTCCAACGAATTGCCGATTTAACCCGTCGAGCACCACGCTTTGGTGTCATTTTAGTTTCAGCTGGGGCTAAAGATGACCTACGCTGGTTCGAGTTAGTCTTATCAACAGGGGCTCTTAATGCCATCCCCCTCGCTCGTTTTGTACGGCGACATGAACCCGATTACCACATCCAAATGGATGCTAGTGATCGCGGATTGTGCGCACTTTTTCCAGCAAGACAGCAGTTTTTACAAGTGGAGTTTAATTATGAGGAACTTCAACTTATTGAAGACTTCAACAGATCAGGGGACGGAGATTTCGGGATCAATGTCCGTGAATTGATGAGTGCTGTGTTTGCTGCATTGGTGTGGGGGCATCTGTGGAGTCGTCCGAGTCAAGATAGTGACGCTCATGTCCGATTCTGGATTGATAACATAGCAGCTGTTTCGTGGAGTAACCGCAGAGCAAGTCGCAATCGTTTCGCGCAAATGCCCCTGCGCATTCTAAGTCTGTCCGAAGTAAAGCATGGATTTTATTCCACCGCCGAACACGTGGCTGGTGTAGACAACGACATGGCCGACGCAGGCAGCAGGGTGTGGCAGTCACCACTACTGGCGACAAAATTTTCTAACATGTCTTGTGGTTGGCAACAGGCTCAGATCCCTCACGACTCGCGAAATCTCTCGCGTCTTTGGGAGCATTACTCCGCGCAGGGGCTTTAGCACAGTCGTCGAGGAAACATTACACAAGAGCGTGGTCTCAATGGACGTATTGGTGTAAAATAATGGGACTTAACCCGTGGCTCAGTAAGGACTCGATAGACAAGAACGCGGAGCAATTGGGTGCGTTCGCTGTTTATCTCTGGCAGTACGGAATGAATCGCTCTCAGCAAGGAAACACATATTCAACGATTTGTTCGAAATTGTGTGCGGTACGCTGGTTTCATCGCAATACGGCAGGATATGACCCTGGTGTGAATGCCAGTCATGCGATTTTACTTCGAGGAATTCGGCGATTTACCAATCCTGTCGTTAAGCAGCAGCCTCTGACAGCACGCCTGCTTCGTCTCATTTTCGAAGAACTTGACCTCACGCAGACTCGACACTAACTTTTATGGGGTGGTCTTCTACTCGAATATTTCTTCCTGCTGAGACGTTCTGAATATCTATTCATTGGGCGGCAATTTCACAACTATATTCTTCGACTCGAGGCAATTAAGTTTTACGACAATCACGAACGTTTAGTAGCACCTAAGCGAGCCATGGTAGTTGGCATCTCTCTCAATGGAGCCAAAAACAACCAATTCGGCTGTGAGGAAATGCGTTACCACAGCAAGTCAAAGGATCCGCTGATCTGTCCGGTTCGAGCAGCGCGATGGGTCCATAAAGCTGCAGCAGTGCTGGGCACGAGTGCAAACGATCCAGCCTTGTCAGTGAGAAAGGGTGGAATCACATCAACGGAGATCGCTGCGATCATTAAAAATGCGGCAAGAAAAGCCGGCTTTGATCCGGCACGATTTTCCACTCATTCTGTTCGAATAGGAGGCGCCACAGCGTTGCTCAACGCGGGCGCCGATCGGCTTGTCATCAAACTTATGGGTCGTTGGTTGTCCAACGCGTTCGAGGGGTATCCAGTGCTTTCCGCCAAGGGGTCTGCGGAACTTTCACGCTACATGTGCTAACAAAAAAGGCGACCACACCCACGGCTTAACTCGCGGCAATCTCATGATGGGGCCGCCGCCACGCCTCGCCCAGGTGTGGCAAAATGCAACTCAATCAATTTGCCCCAACGTGACATTGTTGGAAATTGCTGGTTGCGGAGGCAACGGCAACATGAGATGTGCAAGCTGCCGACGAAGGCGTATTTTCCCGATGTCGCAGTTAGTTATATTTAGTTCTGAAGGAGCTCGAGAAGCTCAGTTGCTTCCAGCTCACTTTCGCTTTCTTTTCGCAGCTAACCCGCCACGCCTCGCCCAGGTGTGGCAAAATGCAACTCAATCAATTTGCCCCAACGTGACATTGTTGGAAAGCCGCATTTCTCCAAATGAAACAACTACGGATAGTATTGACTAGAGCTCTCTATTTGGCTCCCACCAAATCACGAGAACATTTCTTCCCTCGTATGTTCATTCTTTCTCAGAACCTGTTTGTCGGAGTGTTTATTGTTCGTTGTCGTTGAGACTGCAATCTTGATCGGAGTTGAGGATATCAACCTTCGCACCGGCTTGCTGATACTCCACATTACCCCGTAGCGTTGAGGGAGGTTAATACTTCCTGGATTAAGGTAACTTCTGTTGCTACTGGCGATGATTGTAAGATTGATGGGGGTACGGACAGAACTGAGTCGATCAGCCAGTCATATGTTACGCATTTGGAGATGATGAAGATAATTTACAGTGAAAACCTCTACGACTGCTCACAGGTTTCAATCTACTTCCTACTCATAAAGTATACGAAGAAAACCGTTGTATATTTCATTTTAAGAAGAACATTTCAAGATTGAAATGTAACGAAGGCTCAAAGTTACCGAGCTAGTTATTTCCTTCAATAATCGCTGCAAAGCCTGACGGAAGTAAGCTCTTCAGACTCGCCAAGTAAGCGGCTTGTGTACAGACAGCTTTAACTAGACGTTGCTGCTCTTTACTGCTCGAAGGCGCTCTTCCCGCTCGCGTACAGCGGAGTCTTTCAGAGCCCAGTTGACGTGATTAAACCTGCTTTGCTGTGCATTATCATAGGTTTGCTGCGCTAGTGGTTTCGTTCCCTTCATTCTCAGTAATCGAGCCGTCATAGTTTTCTCCATTTGCCGCAAAGTTTCTCGTTCTTGCTTGAGTCGTCGGTGATATCTCTGCTTCCGGATGATCTCCTTCTCTCGCCGAATTCTGCGCTTGCGAGCCATTGCTGCGTCCGCCGAGGTGCTTAAGCTGCTCTCGCTCTCGATACCATTGGGGACGGTCCAAAATTCAGGAATGATGGGGTCAACTCGAGACGATACCACATCGTTGTAGGAAAGCTGACAATTCTTCAGTATCTCTGCGTCTGAGGCCATTCTGATTGAGGTTGTGTGTGAGTGGACGAATTTTTTTTAAAACTGAACGACAGAATCATTCACTCATTCGTGCTTGCGATTTCATAGTTTGGTCGGATGAATTTCCGTGATGACGGAATGGCCCGTACCATGATCAACAGGTAGCCAGTTTTTCATTACCGGTATCCAAGTGGCGCCTGTATCAGCGTTTTGAGTGCAGAACTGTCATTCGACTGGGATCGTTCTACTCAACTACCACAAGAACGATAACCAATAAGTATTTAAATCCGGAATGTCCCTGTAATTGCAGTCAAGCTCCAGATGGTGTTGTAAGGTAGCTGTGTCAGGCTCACAGCATCAGACAGAGGTATTAATACCCAGCTAATTAAGGTTGGGTACTGTAGGCGACGGAGTGATTTCCATGATGGCTTTTAACAAGCTCGATGATTGTAATCTAGCTTTATTAATTGGGGAAGACCTTTCTTAGCCAAAACTAGAACAGTGGATTCACCTTACATTGAACGTCATTATGATTTTAAAACATCCACTTCGTGGAGAACCACAGATAAAAGAGAAAAAAATGAAGATAATGACGACTTGCTGGCAATGAGTTAGCGGTACTTCACTAGTAAATGCAAAGTGTAGCGGTTCTATTGCAGAGCTACAGCCGTTTGCATATTTTGTAACTGAGGGAAAGGGTGAGACTATTGCAATACAGTTTAGGCAGCTGAGGAACTTTTACGTGCCCCCTACCGGTATGTGCCAACGTCGATGTTGATACTATCAAAGTCATCGTGGAATTATTGTAGGTGCATGCATACTTGAAGTACTATGTGACATAGACCAGAAGCGTGACTAAACTCTCGTGACTCATTATTACCACTTGAAATTCTAGGCGGTCCCTACACAATATTTTTTTTCATTTCATAGGTCGGGGCTTGCTTAACGGTAGACGAAGGTGCAATGTATCGAAGGAGCTGTCTCTATTCCACAGAAATATCGAGGCAGCAAAATTTGTCGTATTTAATACCCCCACACTACAGTTCTTGTTTTTTTTTCAGGAATGCCATAAGTAGGAGTAATAATTATTCTGGTGTTACTATCCCTGAAGCCCTAGCAATTCAAAATTAAAATAGGCACGGTTTCTTTAGGTTTTTTTTTTGGCTTCGTTGAATCCATTCATTTTCCTCTACCGGTAACTGTGCAGCCGAGATGAATCGCTAAAGTCGTCAACAGTCTCTACGCAGATTTCCCTTTAAGAAATGCTGCATCGGTGAGCGTGGTATTGACTGGGTACTGTTTTTTTTAAGAATGATAATATCAACAACAGCAAAGCAGAGCTCCGCCAATCCAGCAGCAGATTCTAGTAAGCTCCCTCACCATCACTTCAGAACTATTTGGTTTTTGCGTCGTGGTTACGTGACGTGAATGTTTGTGCGCCTTGATCAGCTATCTGGCGATGAGTGAAGGGATTCTCGCAATTGACCGTTCACCGGAAGGTATATTTGTTGACCGTTTATAAGTGGAACTTACCCACGTCCAATGCGGTTCACATGCATAATGTTTGCAACGGTAAGCCATAATGCACTAAGCAACGCCCAAAACGATGCTCTCTGGTGAGATCCAACGCTATTGGTCTCTGTTCGTGTCGTGACTGTCCCGCTGCCTGTTCCGCTGCTCGTGTTAGTGGTAGCTGGAGTGTCGTCGAATGCTAGCAGATCACTGTTTGCATCGTCTCCTTCACACACAACCAGCGGGTCTGGACATGTGATATGTCCAGAAAAGCCTGGCACGGATAATTTCTCCCCCTTGCCAGTGCAGTTTAGACTTACAGTATCTTGCGTCCAACTCCGTGGAATCGTGAGTTGTACAAACATACTTGCGTTCGCATTAGAGAAACATCGCATGGCGTAGCAACCACTTTGTCTTGGCGAACTCACCGTCCAGAATTGTGCAGAATCATCGCTACGGAGTGACGTTTGTGTGCATTTACAAGTGGGACAGTACGTCTCACCAAACGCGTTGACGTTAGTCTCACCAAGTTGCAGAAGGTTGGCGGAAAGGGAGCAGTCGCCAGCCGTGTTGCCCACAACTAACGGGCAATAATCGGCGAAGGTATTAGTTCCTCCTTTTCTTGGGTTACCGGGAAAATACTGATACTCGGTCGGAATGGCTTGGCTTTTAGTGTTTAGGGAACATACAGCGCGAGACGTAGCGTCGACTGAACAACCCTGAAAGTCCGTCGAAGAAGTACAGAAATGATCTGCTGCTATCGGAGCTTGCGTCACTGGATCGATGCATTTTTCCGTCGCAAAGGAACAACCTTTGCTTCGACCATAATGCATAACCTCCGACATGGATGCATTGACTCGATACCAGCCGGAATCTGCGAAGAACGCGAGTGTGAGAGCACTGAAGACGTTGTGATAGCTGTCCACGGGGGTCATTAACTCCGGCTCGAACAATCGTTCTTCCCAATGAGAACCAAGACAGCCGCTGTCTTGAGACTCAATCTCGGCACCTTCCAGTGTTGAGCAGTTGAAATGATCACGAACAAACGCACGGACGCGTGGAGTCACTAGTTTGGCGACAACATGATCCCTCTCGGTTGAGTACTTGATCGTAGTGTTAGAAGGCTCCACGTAGTAGTGGATCTCCTGTCGGTTCGGACATGTCCCTGCATTAAAGATCGGTGGGTTGCCCTGCTCATCTCGTGGGGTTCTCGGGCTTCCATCCTCCTTACGCATTAACGGGAAGAACCGGGATGAGAAGCCGAGTGCGTGTGTGAGCTCATGAAGAGCTGTGGATACCTGACGGTCGAAAGCTGAATCCGAAGTATTGAGTTTCTGTGGACAGAAGTTAACCATCCCGAATGTAGGACGGTCGTACTGGTCATGCTGACATGTGGACGCATACGCCATTGTGTTACTACTCTTGCAGCTAGCAGTGTCTTGTACTCGAACATAGATGAGGAAATCGGTATTGGGGACACCTGTGCCAGCTGGAGTTACGATACAAGCATCCGTCGAGCACGCATTCGAAGTACATTTGTCGCAGTATCTGAACGACGTGAAGTGGTCAGCGGGTATTGGCATTTCAAGACACAACTGGTTCTCAGCGATGGATTGGCATACTGGAGGGGTGGTGGAAAATGTGGCTGTGCAAAAGCGCTCTGCGAATAGATTGCCACTGACAGGGACGACCTGGAGAGCTCGACTGATACGCTGAATGGCCTCTTCAACGACTTTGACAACGATGTTTCGGGTGGCATCAGACACAGAATTGAAACTGGTGTTGTCGTAATAGGGTGTTATACGAATGGGTTGGAACGCTGTCGATGTTAATGTTCGGGTATTCGAGGCTGTGATGGTACTTGATTCTACATGCTCGCTGGTATCACGGAGTCTCCGTTTGCGATCGTACATTATGAACGGGTGACTGTCGTGGTAGCTTTGAGCACCGACGACAAACTTGTGATCGAGAGAATCGTGGATACAGCATTGGGTTACTTGGGCAGACCAGTAAACGACAAATAGTAACCGAAGGAGGGTGGCGGGTTGACAAAATTGCATCATCACGACCGCTACCTTGTTTTCCAGTCGTCAGCGGCGCGTACAGCTAACAAGGCGAATTATAAAGTGAGAGTCTCAGACTTTCTTTTTATCATCTATGCTCTTGATCGTCCATTTTTGTGAACAGCTAGCGGGGCAGCTAATCTTGGAGAAGCGAATATAACTCGTGTCTAAATACAGACCTCGTCAGCGGTAGAATGACAGATATATCGCTAACGAGGTGAATTTCATCTCAGATACATTAATAAATCTAAATTATTTAAATTGCCCATGTAAAACAGGTTTACTTTATGGACAAGTATCTGATTTTACAGAAACTTTACAGAGCTATTGCAGCCGCAAGACAGCTTCCCAGCAGCATCCAAAGTGAAGCCCATTGATGCACGGCAACACCACTGACAATCTTGCCTGTCGTAATGCTATTGCTACCTGCTTTCGATGTGGATCCTGAACCGGGTCTGCTGTTGCCTCTTGAATTGGAAACACTCCCGGAGCCGTCATCACTATAGCTCTGAGAATTCTTTGACGCATCGGCACTCGCTGGGGCCTTGTTACCCGAGTCCCTTGAGCCTCCAGAGCTGACTGGTGCTCTACTTCCACCCTGAGAGCTGCTGGAAGTACTAGTTTGAGTAGAAGTGTTACTGACAGGGGCGCTGGTGGAACCACCGCTGCTATCGATGTCTGTTAGTAACACACGACTAGGATCGTCGTATTCGCATACAACGAGCGGGTCTGGACACGTGATATCACCGGAGAATCCGGATACTGAGAGCTTGTCTCCTTTTCTAGTGCAGTAGACGGATATGACGTCGTTTGTTTTACTTCTAGGAACCGTGAGCTCGACCACTGTGGAAGTACGTTTGGAACTTGTATCGATAGTTGCAATACATCGCATCGCATAGCACCTTGACTGTCGAGGTGGGTTGATGCCCCATCCAGTGGAGTCGGCACTACGTAGAGAAGTCGACGTGCACTTACAAGTAGGGCAATACGTTTCCCCATAGGCGTTGACACTGGTCGATCCAAGCTTAAGGAGATTCGAAGAGATGGAGCAGTCACCCGCCCTATACCCCACATTCATCGGACAAAAGTCTGCAAAGGTATTGAGTCCGCCTTTCGAATGACTACCAGTGAAGTATTGGTATTCGGCAGGGATTGATTGGCTCGTAGAACTCAAGGAACAGGCCGAGCGTGACCTAGCGTCAGCCGAGCAACCCTGAGCTGTCGTTAAGGTACAAAAGTCATCAGCTATCGGTATTTCAGTCGCTGGATCCACACATTTGTCCGTTGCAAAGGAGCAGCCTTTCTTCCTGCCAAAATGCATTATTTCCGAAGTCGAAGCGTTGACTCGATACCAACCGGAATCTGCGAAGAACGCGAGTGTGAGAGCACTGAAGACGTTGTGGTAGCTATCCACGGGGGTCATGAACTCTGGTTCGAACAATCGTTCTTCCCAATGAGAGCCAATACAACCACCATCTTGCGACTCAATCTCGGCACCTTCCAGAGTAGAACAGTTAAAGTGGTCTCGGACGAACGCTCGCACACGTGGTGTCACCATTTTCGCCACTACGTGATTCCTCTCCGTTGAGTACTTGATAATAGTCTTGGAAGGTTCCACGTAGAAGTCGATGTTCCTACCATTTGGACAAGTTCCGGATGTGTATGTTGGGGGGTTCCCGTTGGCATCTCTCGAGGTACGTGGGGTGCCGTCTTCATTCCGCATGAATGGGAAAAAGCGAGAGGAGAAGCCAAGAGCATGCGAAAATTCATGTAGAGCTGTCGATACTTGACGTTCGAAGTCAGCGGCTGCAGTGCTGAGTTTGTTCGGGCAAAAGTTGACCATCCCGAACGTAGGGCGGTCGTACTGGTCTTTCTGACAGGTTGAAGCGTACGCTAACGTGCTACCGCTTTGGCAACTAGCAGTGCTCTCAGCTCGCACGTAAATAAGGAAATCCGTGTTTGGAACTCCCGTTCCTGCTGGAGACATCTTGCAGTTAGAACAACCACTTTTTGTGCATGAACCACAGTATCTCGTGGACGCAAAGTGCGCATCCGGTATCGGCATTTCCAAGCAAACCTCGTTGGCTGCGATTGTGTAACATACAGGAGGGGTGGTGGCAAATGTGGCTGTGCAAAAGCGCTCTGCGAATAGATTCCCACTGACAGGGACGACCTGAAGAGCTCGACTGATACGCTGGATGGCCTCTTCAACGACTTCAAAAACGGTGTTTTGGGTGGCATCAGACAGAGAATTAAGAGTGGTGTTGTCGTAGTAGGGTGTTATACGAATGGGTTGGAACGCTGTCGATGTTAATGTTCGGGTATTCGAGGCTGTGATGGAAGTTGTTTCTACATGCTCGCTGGTATCACGGAGTCTCCGCTTGCGCTCGTTCACTATGAACGGATGACTGTCGTGGTAGCTTTGAGCACCGACGACAAACTTGTGATCGAGAGAATCGTGGATACAGCATTGGGCTACTTGGGCAGACCAGTAAACGACAAATAGCAGACGGATGAACCTTCGCGGACGCATGAATGTGATTGCTGTCTAATTATGGAGGTTGTCAATGGAGACAGTGATCTTCGTTGTAGCCACTCGATTGACGAATGGGCCTAGAAAGCGTGCATGGCCTATCTCAATCAAGAAAAATTTCCCCAACGACGAGTACATCGTTGTTGTGAAGTAGCTAATATTGGAAATTGATGAGAGCTAAATGTAAGCCACCACTCAACGGTATCCTGGGGTACTTAGCTATTTCTAGATCACGGCCATGGGTAATACTACCTAATTTTCTAGATCTATTTTTTTTTCATTTTGAAGATTAAACCAGAAATGTTTTTCAAAAAAAGTTTTCTTAGACTATATTGTTTATGAAAAAAAGTATCGCTCTTGAGTATTTCGATTGGTCAATAAAGCTCAATTTGGTACGTTACTTACGTACCGAAATCAGAGATTGCTGAAGTGCTCACCTCATTTCTCTCATTCTCGGAACTCTTATGGCTGACGACGAGTTACTTCATGCCGTGGGGGACTCACCCCATGAACACGCTACCGCTGTCCCGCTTAAGCTCGACGAAGTGGACGGCGAGCAGCTTATCGCGGACACGGACGCGTTGCTTCAGTCACTAATTCGGAGTAAACAAACCACTAAAACCGAGTCCGAAAACAAGCGTGACATGGCGAGGATGAAGGCCGGTCAGCGAAGAGACGCGTATCGCGCGCGACTCTTGGTGGAAAGAGCTACTTTACGGCAACAAGATGCAGACCTAACTTAGGTCACCTAAGCCAGCACCTGAAAAGGTTGAAGCAACTTAAGACTCAAAAGGAGACGCAGAGTTCCCCAAACGATTCGCTGGCCCTCGGAGCGTGGCGAGCTATTGCCATGCGACAATACGAGAGTAGAAAGGAGTCAGAAGCGCTCAGAAAGAAATCCCAAGCCGCAGTAAGCACTCGAGCTGTCATGATCCAAGACTTGGAGTCGGTATTAAGAAAAAGAGCTCGAGAAGTCGAAAAAACGACAGTGGAGATTCCTGAAATTTTGGAAAAGAAAGCAAAATTCGGGAAAAAGGACACCACCCTGTACAACGCCTACTTTGAGAACCTCAATGCTTTATATGAACGACTAGACGACGTTTTTAAAGAAGTGGGAGTCACTCCAACGCCCGGCGGGATTTTTAAGTGGAGAGCCAACTAGGAAGATGAACGGTAATACCGAGTACTTTGAGACTATCGGAGTGGGTAGAGTGCCCTTCGGTTTCCAGAGAACATGTGACGCCGTATGGGAGTTGCTATCGGTGCCGCATCGACAGGAAGGGAGACTTGTGTATGAGGGCTTACCCGATCCGGAGAACTCGTTGGCGTTACAATTCTGCTGTCCGTATCAAAGAGAGAATGGTGAAATGCTCAAGCTGCGCACGTATCAAGTTGCACGACGTTATGTTGAGACTAACCGGTTGGTTGTAGTGTGGAGAGGTCTGTGTGAAGCAGACAGCGAGTTTTCCGGGATGAATTCGGATGAGACCGGATGGTGCATTGTGCACTCTCCAGATAGCAATCCGGATTTGTCTGCGGAGTCTGCTACGACACTGGTGCAGGCGTGTACTTGAATGGTTCCTATGCATTACCAGGAAGACAAGGATGACAAACTGGACCAATTCGTGGAGCTGTTGGTGAAGACAGGAGCCGAAGACAACCGGGAAATCGAACTCATGATGGAACGACTGATTCTGGATGACGCACTTGCAACGGACGGTCTGGAGATCGATGACGACGGCAACTTAACCTCACTTGAAGTGTGAGATGAGAATGCACTCGAACGGTTGCGTAAAATGTCAAATTCTTGTGAAATATTTTTTTTTGGATTATTTGGTCCTTAGCATCGCGCTTGATTGGATAAAACAAACTCTAGAGAATTTGTGATTTCAAGAAAATCCTCGGATCCCAGAGAGTGTAGCATCCAAGAGAACGTTTCCTTGTCGAGTTCATTATAGTTGACATGCATCGTCTTATGGCGGATGTTAATGGCGATCACAGTCCCTTTCCCCGTTTTTGAGGGCTGAACAATACACCAGCCTGTTTCATCTGAGTGCAGACCGTTAAATGCCCCCTCTCCTTCCGTGAATGATCGCCAGACTAGCACCATTCGGTTCTCCTCACAGTAGCGACGACCCACCATACTCTGAACCACCGACACCGATCGACCACAAAGCAACCACCTCGTAAGGTGAAGCTTGAGTGCAATCGTGTTGCTCACGTCTTCTAGACGTTCGTAGAGCACGCAATCTTCTTTACGAAGGAGAACGTGTGCTAGTTGCCATAGAACTTCGCTTGCGAGCGTGAAATCGAATGGCAGGTCTCGTTTGTTAGCGTATTCGAAGGGTCCTGTCTTCAAGAGCGTGTTAAACGATACTGAATCCAATGTATGTGTCTGAAAGACCTGGTCGGTCTGTGCATACACCGCATCGAGCTCTTAAAGATACATCTTGAAGATATTCACGTCGGAGCTCCCAAGGAGGACGTGCTTTTCTTTATCAAAGTTCACTTGATTCGACAGGTATTCTTCGCTGTCCACCTGCTGGTGCAACTCCTGAATCAGTCGAGAACCAGACTCTACCGCATCTTTCAGGCACTTCTGCTTTAGCTGAGCTACTTGAAGTGCTTCCAGCTGCTCCTCCACGATTGCCTTCGACGTGACTGCAGACAAGGAGCAATTTGCTTGTCGTGCGTGTTGCAGCCTCCACACCTGGCCGGACAGTTCTTTCACCTGGCGCTCCAAGATCTGCCGCTCCAAGCGTCGACGTGCACGATACATTTTCCGTCGCTCTCGATCTTTTGCCCTTTCAAGCTCACGCTTGGACATTACACCCGGGATCTTTTGAGGAGAAGATGGGCTAATCTTAAGCTCAATATTGGCCGATGATTCGTTAGTGTCCGTAAGAGAGCACAATGGCGATTCGCATGAAGTGAGGAAGCCATCGACGTCTCTGAGGAAAGCTTCGTCCGAGATCATCTCCATGATGAAGAACAGTAAATGAAAGACAACGTCAAGGGTCGAAAACTGATTACGGGATGGCTTTGTCCTGTACAGAAAGAGGTGAGGTAGCCATGTAAACATGGTCGTTATCGCTACGAACAGCTCTAACTTGTTCATACCCCTATCGATGTAGCATTATCGGTGTGTTGCCAAGCAAACATGAGCTCGGAAGTGCACGTTAAAACAAAAATACGCCCGCAAAACGGCACGTGCTCTACATGTAGTCGTTTAATCAATTATAATACTACAGCAGTAGTCGCCGCTCGCCACGTTGGACTGTGCGGTACGTTTTTAATCAGAGATTAAAATCGATTACGGAACGGTTTGCTAACTCAGCTGCGTTTCGCAACTCATCGGGTGCATGAATAGTTTTCCTCTTTCCCTCTTGGACAACCTGACTTTCCTATTTTGTCTTCGATCAAGAGTGACGCCATCATGCGTGTAATTTCCGATCCGTCCTCTTCGCCTGAAGTCACAACCAACTTGGCGAATTGATCTGCATGTGCCTTATTACTGAATTTTGTAGCGATGGTCATTGGAATGAAGCGTGTGAATGTTTGGACAACAGTCGTTGCAACTCCGTGGCCTACTGCGTTAATTGGCCGCACAACACACCACCCATACTCGTCGGAATGCATGCCCGAAAATTCGGCGTCACCCTCCGTCAAGGCACGCCAGACGATGACCATTCGGTGCGCTTCTATAAACCTCTTCAGTACCAAGTGGATCAACATGTCCACACGTTCGTTAGTGTCCGTTGGCGATGGGATCAGACACTTCACAGCGATAGTATCGTCCGGATCAGTGACACTGCCGTAGTGCCGTCGGTCTTTTTGACTATGAACGTGGAGCAGGGCTTGCCACATGGCCCTGCTCGTTTTCTCGAAGCTTGATGGAATTAACGACACATCTAGATTTTCAAAGTATTCTAGATCTCCGTCTTGTTTCCAGATTGGATCCACTTTGTATGATGTTGTTGGGTTCTCCTCGACTCCTGAAGCTCCGAAAGCCTCGTCTGTCTGCTTGTATACCATGTCCATATCCTGTAAATATTCCTCGAACAGAGCTACGTCATCGGGTTCAAGTTCCACGTCAGTCGACGTCTTCGTCACTTTATCCAGGTTAGGCCCATTCGCACTACACAGTTGGTGTCGCATCAAGCCGTTGACTTCTTGAATCACCTTCGTTCGACTCGCCACGGCGTTTTTTAGACGTCGCTCTTGCTCTTCAGCCACCAGGCGACCGTCCATTTGTCGCGAGGCGATATCCTTCCACAAAGGTGATGCAATTGTACTCGCTTGTATGGTCTTGCTCTTCTTTTTTGCTCGTTGTAAAGTCTTAAACTCTTCTGACAAGGTTTTCTCCTGTTCCTGAAGCGTCTGACGCTCGTTCTTGAGCTTCACCCGATACCGGTGACGTCTCTTGGCTGCTAGCGCATTTTTAAGCTCACGACGTAGCTCCTCTGGACTTTTGGTCGTCTTTATAGGTGAAGTTTGGGCATGGTCTTGTTGCACGAATACATTTTTTGTGTCATAGGACGCTAATAACGCTTCGGTCTCCGCTAAGAGTTGATCACTGTCCTGCAACAAATCCGTAGTGGCGGACGCTGTAGTTTGCAGCTCAGGGACGTCGCACTCGTGTAGGAACACGTTCAGATCAGTCCATGTAGACTCGTCGTCAACGCCTATGTTGCCGTCCATTGAGTCAGACTCCGATAACACACTCGGGATAGATGTGTTCGTGCAACATTGAATTTATCTCTTGATGTGCTTGTAGCAACTCAAGAATGATCTTCGGAAGTGTCATTTTTTTTGGAAGTCAGTTAGTGAAATAGCGTTAGTTTCAGTTTTTTTCAAGCGTTATTTCACATTTTATTGTTATTTAAACACAACAAATGTTCGACCAGGACGATGCGACCATCCTGGCCGAATTGACGGGGTTCCTAGACGACTACGAGGCTTCGATAGAGTCCCAAGAGCCAGATATCTCTAGCAGTCTCTTGCTAGACAGCGACCAGCTCTTCTCGGAGACTGAGGCCCTACTATTCCCCCCGAACGAACCTGCAAACTCGACCTGTTCAACAGCCGCGCAAGTGAGGGGAACCAGAAACACACAAGCAGCAAAGAGGCGACTGAAGTATCAAAAGAAACTAAAAAGTGAGCGGGCAACACTAGAAGACGAAGAAAAATTTCTTTTCGACGAGCTGGAAGAGCTTCAGTGCGCTCGAAAGCGAGCAAAAGCCCTCGGAGATAAAACGCTAGCGACGTCTACATGGAAGGCCATTGCTATACGACAAAAAGAAGGACGATTGGTGGCCGAACAACAGCAACGAAGACTGCAGAATGCCGTCGAGAATCGCGCCAAAGTGATCGAGGAGATCACTCAGATGATTCGAGAGAACTTGAACGGGTCGAAAAATACGCCACACATTGAGCAGGACAAGCGGAGTCCTCTCAAACTTGATACGGAAGATTCAATCCTCTTTGACGAGTTTCTTAACGATTTAGAACTGATGTATCCTCGAACGGACGAGGTTTTCCGAGCGTGCGGAGCTGAGGAGAAGCCGACAATGTCGTACAGACTGGGGCCACAGCGAAGACGGGATAGAGACGTGGAGTACATAGATACTCTGGACGTGCTGCTGATCCCCATCAGCTTCGAGCAGACGTGCGACACGATGTGGCAGTCCATGATTCGCTTGTATCGACAGAGAGAGTGGCATCACTACGACGTGAAGGACCCAGCGAACACGCTGGCAGTCAAGTCACACGTGCAAGTCTCGAGAGACTCGGGGCAGTCCGTACATATGATAGTTCACTTTGTAATGCGTAGATATGTAGAGAAAGAGCGGATGGTTGTAGTGTGGCGAGCGTTGTCCGAGGGAGAAGGGGAGTTCACCGGCATCCATTCGGATGAGACTGGGTGGTGTATTGTGCGTCCTAATAACTCGGAGGAACCGCTTTTACGGGTCGTCATGCAGACCTTTGTGCGGTTTATCCCAATGGATGTGACGAATACTTCAAACGACGCAATAGGTGGATACCAATTCACCAAGTTCGTTGTGACTTCAGTTGAAGAAGACGGCGCCGAGATTGCCCGCATGATGGACTCTTTACTTCTTGAAGACAATGAATAAAACCCAATATTTTGTGATAACGTCATCCTTTGGACATGGACAGCTTCCTGTTTCCAAGCTAGAGAGTACTAAGTAGTCCCTATGGGGTGGTATATTCCGTGCCGCATCGACCATCCTCGCCGCTGCGTCGTCGGTGAAATGAGCTCCGAAGACCTTACTCATTGTCGTTTGCCGGTGGGGGTACTTCGCGTTAAAGTCTCGTAGATACTTAACCCAAAGTTCAAAATCCAGGCTGGAAAGGAGATTATCTGGCACGGTGTTAAGACGCACAGTATAAAATGTGCCGTCGGGAGCCATTCTATCTGACGAGGGCATACCAGGCTTGTTTAAGAAGAGCGAATGAAAAACGTCTTCCGGGTCGTACTCAAGGCCGAGCCATCGGTCGAGTTGTTCGACCTTCAACTGTCTCCCGATCTCCCTGGTACTTGGATTCTTCATCGCATCGTCAGCTATCTTGGTCACGCCGCCAGCTTAGAAATATATCTGAAAAGGGTCGAGCAGCTTCTCTTTCTTGCTGGAGTTCTCGTGGTTGAAGGTGTTGAAATACTTGAGCCAATCGCTGAACTTCGGGCTGCTTAGGACGGTATCCCTCCCTCTATCCAGACCAAGGTAATGAAAGACGTCCGTGGGAGATTCCTGGTTGCTCCGCCAGCCCCGATTTTGCTCAGCTTGTAGCTTTCCAGCGAGTTTCTCGGTGGATGAAACTTTCGTTGCAGCTTCAAGCGTCCAGAACACAGCATGATCGCCGTAATGAGCTGTTAAAGCAGGGACCATGGAAGCTTTGGCTTCAGGGTACTTGGCATTAAATTCATCTAGGTACTTAGTCCAAGCGATAAACTCCGGGCTTGTAAGTACGACAGCCACTTTGGTGTCTAGCACGAACCAGCCGAAGACTTTTTGGGGGACTTACCGCTATCTGAATTTGCTCGGTCCTTCTGTGGTAGGAACCGTCTTCGCATCTTCGAGAATTTTTGATAGGTCTTTCGGACCTAAGTAATTTCTCGTTAAAGTCGGGATCAAGGATTTTAACTTGGTAGGGTTCTGCGCATTGAAATCGTCCATGGCCTTCGCTAAATCGTCGAAATGTGGATTCCCAAAAACTGTGCCTGGAATCTTGTGGAGCCGAAGTTTCTCAAAGGTCTCATCTAAGGACCCTCCTTTGTCGAGCCATCCTCGAATCTGCAAAATCTGTTGCTCACTCGGGGAGAGTTTCGTTGGCCCCAACAGAGACTCAACCTTCTCAAGGGCTGTACTGGCCGTGAATCCTCTCTCGTCGTCGTTCCCGTTACGCGCGTTGTCACTGACAGCTTGTCAGTCCTTAGAAACCGCTTGGTCGGGTGACAGAAAACGCTCGTGGTTTCAAAGCTCACAGCCGTTACGGCAGCATCGACATAGACAAAGAAAAATCCTGCATCCAGCAACACGAGTAGAGGGAGGCAACGCATGGGTCGAGAAAACTTCGTCAAGTCTTGATGTTTTTTTTTGCTGGAGAATTGGCGAGTGGGAAATTGGCACATGTATCAGTACGTGTACAGTACTTGGATGCTGTGCTCGATGTTCTCATTTTGATTCGTCACGCGCGAATCATTTGAGACAACACCAAATTGCCCCAAGCCTCTATAATATTATATTTACTTTTGGTATCATGGAAACGGATGTCATGGTCCTGTGAGTTCTCAGAATCGGAAGTGCTATCAAGATAACAAGTCGCCATTTCGTCAATATACATTGCTTTGGAGAAGTTAATATCTTATTCAAGCGTTCTCAATGAGGATCGTCAAGCCCATACGAAACAGCGGGCGACTCTATATAACGCGTTTATCGGATGGCAGGGAATTGTGGTTTGCGTCATGTACGCCATCGGAAAACACCCCGAAAAATCTGTGGCCAAACAAAGAGTTCCCCGACACGATCTTCGAGACAATGCTGCTGCCGATTATCGTATTTTTGTCTACTTCGAAGTATTGCTTATCATAGCTGACACTGTGAAAATAAGTAATTGGTATTGGAGCTACAATAAATTAATGAGCTGTCTCAACACTGGAAATAGGGTTCTGAGTGTTTAGAGTATCTTGATTCTGAGTGTATAACGTATCTTAGTTCATGCCGTCGAAGCATTTCTGGGCCTTATCGTATTTTATATAAGGCCATATTAACGCTGCTCTAACGTTTCTTTTTTTGCCTTTTTTACAGGGAGAGGGGGGGGGCACCTCAGATTCAGGCCACAAGCTTTCATTTTTCACAAAGTCGATTGCTCTCTCGTCATCGCTCTTAAAATGCTCGCTGTCGGCCTATTGATTCCTTGTTGACGAGTCAGATTCTGGTTTCACCGACGTAGATGTAAGAACCGTTTGGGTCAGCTTTGCACCAAGACTTACAACAGACATATGCAAAAAAAAAGTGTGAAGCAGACTTTATGGGGTCGCGAAGAAGCTGCGACAGACATTGGATGAAAGGCACACCGCTTAAAATAAAAAAGCTAGTACCTGTTTAGTGTACACCGATTGAGTCATTAAAACACCGGTTAAGCATTTAAAATACAAAAATTACACCGATTTGTTTATAAATCCGATAGATTAATTTACGTAGTATGATCGTCATCAACAGCAATGAATGCTGGCAAAGTGTCATCAACACTCTTATGATGCTGGTAAAAAGTGCTGATCCAACATTACAGGAACCGCTTCGCATTCAGTGCAAAACTCCTTTCATGCTCGTTTATTTGATTCCTTCCATGTTACGGATATCTACTGTATCGTACCCCTTGATCTCATCGAGTAATTCGCCTCTCTTATAGTGTCACAATTGCTTCAGGGTGGCATCAGTCGCCTCCAAGCAGCATTTTCTCCAGCATTTGCATCATCTCGTTGACTTCTTCCTCCCCGGTCTTGGCAACTACCGTCGCGAATCGATCCGTATCCATTGTGCTACTTGCTGTATCACCGACAGTCATGGGTATGAAGCGTACGTAGTTCTCCAGCACCGTCGACGACACGTCGTTTATCAATTGTGGCCGTAGAACGAACCACCCCGTTTCGTCTGTATGGTATCCAGCTAGATGCTCTTGACCCTCTGTAAGAGAACGCCACACGAAGACCAGACGATCAGCTTCAATGACTCTTCGCACTGCTACGTAGACCTTCAGCTTAGCGACCTCGCCTCTCTCTAATGAACACTTGACGTAGTATTTCACTGTGACTGTACCCTTTGGTTCTTGGGCCTGTTGGGTATATGGCGCTACGTCCGGGTCTGTCATCAAGATCAGAGACACAGCACGACTGGTGTCTTCGTACTTAAACGGGACTTCGGACGAGTGTGCGCTCTCGAACAGCTCTACCCCCTGTTTTGTCGTCCGCGTCGGTTTGAACGTCAACTTACGGGATTTTTGAAACTTGACGTCTCGCAAGACCTGGTCTGTCTGTGCGTATATGGCATCCAACTCACTAACAAAAGTCTTGAACAGCACAGAGCCATCACCGTCGGCCTGTCCACATAACTTGTTACTGTCCTCTATATAGGGACATTGCAGCAGCGCCTTCAACTGGTGGATCATCCTCGCTCGTCCGATCACTTGAGCTCGCAGCTGTCTCTGAGTGTTCTCAGCCTCAAGACGCTTCTCCTTCTGCCTCGTAGCTATGGCTCTCCACACACTCAACGAGATGGTGTCCACATACCTCATCTTCTCTTCCTCATGGGCTCTTTTTAGCTTGTTTAACTTACTCGACAGCTCCACTTCTTCTCGTTCTAGCGTCTTCTTCTCGTCTTTAAGCTTCTGTCGGTATTTCGATCGGCGCTTGGCTGCCTGCACGTTACGATGCTCGCGTCTTCGGTCAGCCGATACTTGGTCTGTGCTGGCTGCTTCTTTGTGCTCAATGATGCGCATGCGTTCGTCAGGGCGATGGCAGCGAGCGTTTGGAGCTGCCTGTTCTTGCGGGGTCTCTAGGGACGAGAGAAGCGTCTCAGTCTCGGTAAGGAGCTGGTGGGAGGCCAGTACCAAGCCATCGTCGCTGGCAGACGCTGGTGCTTTGTGATACGGGTCTACTGACGGGGCTGTAGCGTTGCAGGCCGCCAGGAATCTGCTCACGTCGGCGAGCAATGCGAAGTCTACTTGGTCGTCTTTCCGCATGACGCTGGCACCAAAGTGTGAGGCTCGGTCTTATATGAGTGACCTTTACATCGAAAAAAATACACCCACCTCACGTAAGGTGGGCCACATTTTTTTCTGTTCACGAGCCGGGCACTGGTTTTTGGGTGAAGGACTTTTCAAGGGTAGCTCCTACCCACCCAGGCTTTATCGTCTGGGAAAGAGGGGTACTGCGTTCAGAAAAGGTACATGTACAGCTTATTATTTTGAAGTTTTTAACCCTTTCACTACCGACAAAATTGTGCGCTGTTACATGTCCGCAGCAGAACTGTAACTGGATACACAAGCATTACTGATTGGTAAAAACTCCCCCATCGGGGTTTAGGTCTACAGCTCACAAGGACTAACAGGTCCTCACCGGACCCGTATCAAGACATCTCCGTAGCATTACTGCTTAAGACATAATAGTTTGTGGCCCCAAGGTTGCCACCAATTGTTACTTCTCTCACTGTCAATCGTTATTTTGCACTCTTCTAGCAATGGACATATCTGAATTACTGAGCAACAACGACGATGAAGCCGACTGGGAATTCGAGACTTCTGATATTGAGGAGGTGGAAGACAGCGCTGCTGCCGTCCTGTCAAACGAGGAGGTGGACATCGCAACAGAATCAAATAGCGAATCAGCGTCATCAGCTGAGGAAACGATGCCGATATCTGGCAGAACTGGCAACGCGTATGTAGATGGAATCATTCAGCACAGCGGGCTACACATTATACGGAGCGGAGAAGTGAGTGCTGCCTACAAAAACCGCGGTGAGCTGGGTCTTTTCTCGCTTTTCTTCACGAGAGAATTCAGAGATTCGCTACACAGCTGGACCAACGCAATGCTAAAAGATAAAGGGAAACCTGAAGCCACTGTCTACGAGCTTGATGCCTATCTAAGATTGGATATAGCCACGAGTTTCAGCCCTGTAACAGAGATCAAGAAGCTCTGGTCGCGTAATTTATTTATGGGCCAATCCGACTTCGCGTTGATCATGCCATGAAATTGATTTGAGAGCATTAGAGCGCGCTTTCAGGTTCACGCACCAGATAGTGTCCCTGTTGACCGGCGAGAACAGGATCCACTATGGCACAGCCGGCGGCTTATGGCTCAGATCCAGGAAAAGTTTGCTGCAATTGCAGTACCCGTAGGGGCTGTGAGCCTCGACGAGAACACAGTTCGCACCAAAGCTCGATCGGCTGCGAAGCCATTCATGCCTTCGAAGCCAGATAAATATGGTGTGCGCTTTTACGCTGTGGTGGGATGGGAGAGTTTATATGCGTACTCAGTGTGGGATAACGGATCTGGTAACCGAACGAGAACGTCTCCTGCAGAGAGATACGTCGGGTTGTTTCCTGGACTACACTCGGCACTATTCAGGACGCTCGAGCGTGCCGACATTCCCATGGATCGAACAGATGCTAGCGCTCTCTGGATCGCAATGTGTGGCCATCTCACGAAAACACATCAGGCAGCGAGTGGCCACCGGCTGCTAGTTTGTGATAATTTCTATACGAGACACAATTTGGCAAAGACGCCATCGGCATTTACTGATGGTTAAATGAAGATGTTGGGTACGGTGCGAATATCACTGCAGGGTAAGTGGAATGCAATGGAATTAGAAGCGGCGAAAATTAGGATTGACAAAGCTGAACGGGGTTCATGGGAGATGGTTGCGTCGGTAGACGTGCCATCGGACTGGCAGAGACAACAAGAGAAGCATAAAAGAGCTCAGAAGAAATTACTGCCGCACCAGAGGACGCAGTATATAGCACCGATGGCTATCGCTCCTAATGCGGGATATATCGTCTTTCGAGACAAGCTTACCGTAGTTTTCTACATGAACGACTTGGCTGGTACACTTTCTCAGCGTGTACTATCAGGTGACTCTGATGAAGCAATATGGCTGTGTCGTGGGCTTGCCCCGCTGCGACGTTGGACACTAGACAGCGTGCTGCATCGCAAAACATTCCACGTCCCAGCAATGGTGGTCGCGTACAATTTGTTCATGAACGGTGTGGACCGAGTAGATCAAATTAGGAGCACCAATCCAATTCGCCGGAAGGAGCAGCGACTACCAATGAGTATTTTGACGTGGTCCTTGGATTTAGCGCTCATCAATGCGTTTTCACTATTCAAAAAGGTTGCAGGACCTAAAGCAGCGCGGGTGAAGCTCCGCGACCTCAAGCAGAGAGTGGCCGAGCAACTGACAGCTGTGCAGAGAGCCATGCTCGCAAAAGAGCGTCGCTGTGAGCCGTCACCTAGCAAGCCAATAGCAGACGTCGTGGGGGCCGATGATAGCGTCCACGCAATAACGCCAAGCGCTCGACGGTATTCGACTGGAAAACTTACGTGTTATCTATGATCACTGCGGGGCTTCACGAAGAAAGCTCTGTTTGGATGTACGGGCTGTCATAGGGGGTTTCACGTGGCATGTTTTAGTGCCCTCCACTACCGCCACGCACTGAAATCAACCTCGCTCACGGTTCGCTCAGCGCTGGATGCCGTTTGTTCCGCCGCGGGAGGTGATCCGATAGTACACACACGGCTGAAAAAGAACAGAACGATCACATATCTGAATGAGCTTGAGCTACCTAAGGAAACAGAGTAATAACCGTTTAATATACCTGATAGTGCTGTTGAGCCGCTAGATTCCACGTTCCACACAAAAAGGAAGGCGAATCCGTGTCTTCTTCGATAAATGGTCTTACTTCTTGTAGTAGTAGTGCTGGCTTAGCGTTCGTGTCACTTGGCGAGAGGCTCAACGTCTGTGACTGCACGAGAGCATGCGTAGTCTGCTTCCTATGATGTCCCTGCTGTACTGGATCCACTCACACGGCTCGTCGTCGCAGTAGCGGCAGGTCCGCGAGGGGGCTTCTCCAATGACCATCACGAGCTTGAAATTTTGAATTTTGAGGAGTACCGTAAGTTACTCTGCATACGAACACGTTGAACGCAGCTGATCGCCAATAGGTTAATTTTTAATTTGTACTTGTCGCTCCTTGGACGATGTATGGGTACCAGACGGACCCCTAAAAATATCTGGTAGTGAAAGGGTTAAAAGCCCAGATAAACCTTTCAGTAGTCATAGCGGGGAAGGGGGGCATATAAGTGTATTCTTGCTGTGGAGCCAGGTGTACTTTCGAAATGGTACATTTACTGAAGCCGCGCACCATTCCATTTCCTTGCGTTTGCGGTCCTCCCAGAGTCTCTCTCGTTTTTTCAATTTTTCAAGCGAGCGCCACCAAGATGCAAGCTCAAGACACAGCACCGCAAGTGCTTGCTGATCATCGACAATACAAGCGTCCATGGAGACTTCAACGCTGATACAACTACAAACGCCGAAGTGGCGTTCCTATCTCCAGATACTATTAGTGAGCGACAGGAAGTGTCGGACAGAAGTGTTTAGGGGCTAAGAACGATGCTGAGAGAACTACGAGACGAGCTATCAAGAAGGAAGGGTGCAAGCCATTGCTTGTCTACTTTGAATGTGCTGCACAATAGTGACTTTCCTACTGCTAAACATCTCAGAACACTCATTTTTCGCAATTTGTATTCCATATTCCCAGAGAGGGGTGAGATGTATTTTTATCTATACTTCGGAAACCTATTTTTATTTTTGTCGGAGGTAATGAGGATGTATTACATCCGAAAGCTTCATCTGCATGAAGGATATTCTACCAGGGGAGACCTATCAAAGTAGATGTAGTTTGTTACACCGTTTTCGCTACTCAGTCGTGGTTCGAATGTAGTCGTACTTCCTACTTATAAAGGACAAGATAGTACTATTACCACTTTTAGTCGTGCACCACTTTTAGTCATACACCACATTTAGTCGTTCAGTTGTTCACACTCAGTCGGTGTCGAGATCCTGTGCAGTTAATAACTGCCAGTTATACGTATTTTAGCATTGCCCATGAACACGGATGGAAAGCGTTCTCTGCAGCATGTTGTTGCTGTCAGTGACAGAGTCAAGTTTGTGGAGTGGATGGCTGTGACAGCAGCATTACACTGAGCGAAGGGCCTCCCTGCCAAAGCCATCGAAGCCTTTCGCGCCTACTTCCGCTCTGATGACCGCCGCGTCAACCTGAACAAGGCCCGAGACTGGTGGAGCAAGCGCCATGCTCCGGTGCAACTTGAGGGAAAGCGCTAGCGAAAACTCGCACGCAGTAGAGCTAGTACCGTCGCCAATTTGTCGTGAAGGCAGTTGCCGGGAGGGGTCCTAAACTGGGTGAACATTGGGCCTGGCTGTACCCTATCATATTGTCTAAGTAGGATCGCTTACGCAAAGCGGGGGTGAAAATGTCATCGCGATTGCTATAAGATATTGCGGTGACTTTGGTTGAGGACAGTGCTCAGCAAATCGCTCCAAATTAATGGTAAAACACTTTACCAATGTAGTTATACCTCGTCGAATCCAAGATTTCGCAGACCGACACGACATTGTTTACCTCCGCCTCAAGGTCAAAAAGCAAGTCAGCAGTGAAAAGCAGCGCGTCACCCACGCGTCTGCTGCGGAGCATCTAGGGTGTCTAAAGCGTCAATTCGACGACGGTCTCATTGACCCCGATCTATAATACAACATAGATAAAAGTCATTTCGTTTTTGACTTAGATGATGACAAGACTCTTAATTTTTCGTGGCGCGCCCCCCCCCACGTCAAGTACCGTAGCCTGGTTTCTGGTAAGCTCAAAAACACTTTTTTCGATTCACTTTTTAGCATATTTATGTGTTTTTCAGGACGCGAAGGGATTAAAATGAATGTGCTTTTTCGTGGCGGAACCAACACACAAATAGAGTGCCCAACGCTCGTCTTCAAAAATAAGAATGTAAATTATCCAATTACCGGAGCAATCTACTCAGCCTTAGTCCTTACGCTGTGACCTAGCATTAATTACCTTAGATACTGTAACTGAAAGGGACTAAATAACGTACATAAAACGGTTCTAAATGCACTAATTATTCTTATATATAACTTAGTTTTTCTATGCTGCTA